AAACCTTGCTTATAAGATTTGGCTGTATCTTGTTTCATAATTGAATAATGAAACTATATTCAAGTTAATGTAACACAGATCTCTTGCAAAAACTAATATGCTAGCATTAAAAAAACTGTGGTATTATATAGACACCTGTCATTTATTATGAATTGACTTTAAAGTGGATTTTCTAGATAGTGCTTGTATCCAGTATATTGAGATTTTACTCATCTGACATAGACTTATACATATTGGCTATTTAAACATCATGCTTATTCCAAGAATATTTTAAAACCCTATCATGTGAAATAATTCTTCCCACAACTAAGCAGAACAACCTCAAGTATTTCACACTAAAACAGAGTTTTTAAAAGCTTTCAGGAGGTATGTGGGTGGCTCAGTTGGTTAAGTATCTGACTTTGGCTCAGGTCATGATATCGTGGTCCGTGAGTTTGAGCCCCACATCAGACTCTGTGCTGACAGCTCAGAGCCTGGATCCTGCTTCGGATTCTGTCTCCCTCTCTCTCTTCCCCTCCCCCACTCGTGCTCTGTCTCTCTCTCTCTCTCTCTCTCTCTCTCTCTCAAAAATAAACATTAAAAAAAACCTTCGAAATGACCAACAGCTATTAAAATAATACAGTGTTGGGGCGCCTGGGTGGCGCAGTCGGTTAAGCGTCCGACTTCAGCCAGGTCACGATCTCGCGGTCCGTGAGTTCGAGCCCCGCGTAGGGCTCTGGGCTGATGGCTCAGAGCCTGGAGCCTGTTTCCGATTCTGTGTCTCCCTCTCTCTGACCCTCCCCCATTCATGCTCTGTCTCCCTCTGTCTCAAAAATAAATAAAGGTTAAAAAAAATTAAAAAAAAATAATAAAATAAAATAAAATAATACAGTGTTATATTATAATACTATTAATATTGTATAGAATACCAAGTATATTATAGGCGCCTGAATTCTTTGAATGTTGTTCTGCCATACAGATGTGCTGATTAACATAGTAGTTGCATACAGGCCCCTCTGCCCAGCTGCTATAACATTCTGTCTGTCTTGGGATATTTTTCAGTTCTCTTTATTTCTATCTTTTTCAAAACTGAAATGAACAAAAAATGTTCCCATTGTATGGCTTATATTTTAAAATTGGGAAATACCTGCCTGCAAGTCACATCCATGTCCTAGAATACCACTTCCTTCAGGTGGACAGCTCCCACTGGACAGGACAGTGTCCACTGCTCTTCCCTGTTTGCTTCTGTATCCTTTCTCACCTTTTGCCATCTGGCCCCCAGCATGGGCTCTCAATTACTCTTTTTTCCCCTGGGTTTCCCCAGTGGGTGCCTCCTCTCCCCCAACAGCACCATAATGATCCCATGAGGAGAGGGACGGCAGAGGCCCTGGCATGTTAAAACCAGCCTCCAACTAGCATTTCCCTTTTATCTGGTTATGAGAAATAAACATCTGTATCCTATCAACCTTGATTGGATAATCAAAATAAGTTACATTATTTTGCTTCAGCGCCAGGAGAAAGGGAAGTGGGGATGCCACCTGTTGGTTTCCTCTTACTGGACGATAAATTCCGTTAGTAAGGGTTTATTTCTAATATGACCTCTTCTTTGTATCCCTCACATGTCTTCATAGAAGTATATCTTCACCCTTTGGACCTCTCCAAGCACCTTGACCAGTCCCTCTCCTGAGTCCTCCTTGTGGGAAACTATTAGCAGAGCGCTTGTCACATGTTCTAGTCTCATCAGTATATATAAAACCAGCTCTGCGCACCCTAACTCTTGACATGGAAGGAAGGGTGGTGCAATGCATGAAACATGTCTTGATGGCTGGTCAGGCACACACTATTTTCTATGGTTCCTGTACTCCAATTTATGAAGACATACCTTCTTGAAAAACATCCATTTTCTTGCACTTGTGTTTCTCCCAATAAGACCATTCATTTGTGCAACAACTGTGTATAAGGCACTATGCTAGAAACAGAGTCACCTACTAACAGCCCTATTTGTTGCTCTTCACCTGGCTTTGTCAGTCTTGGGGAAAGGACAGTAAATGACTGGAGCAAGGGGATGGAGTCCAGTGGCAGCAGCTGTCTGAATAGAGGACCGAGTCCAGGGTAGAAACATGCCTGGCTTTGCACTGGCTGGGGCGCTGGGTGGCTCCATCAGTTAAGTGTCTGATTCTTGATTTCAGTTCAGTCATGATCCCAGGGTCATGGATCCAGCCCCGTGTCAGGCTCTGTGCTGACAGTACAGAGCCTGCTTGGGACTCTCTCTCTCTCTCTCTCTCTCTCTCTCTGTCTCTCTCCCTCTCTCTTCCCCTCCTCCACTCGTGTGTGTGTGTGTGTGTGTGTGTGTGTGCACGCGCATGTGTGTGCACGCGCATGTTTGTGCACACCTTCTCGCTCAAATAAATAAACATTAAAAAAAATACGTGTTTGCAAGTCAGTGTATTTCCATGCACTCTATCATTTGTACTCCTTTCTAATCAGGGAACTATTCTTTCATTCAGGAAAAAAAAAAAGCACTTGAATTTTAAAATGTTTTATTAAGAAGCTATTTTATGGAGGAAATCTCATGCTTTCAATAACAATAGACTAACCAGTTACCAACCAAGGGTATCATTTGAATAGACGTATTGTGCCCCCTTACTAGGAATATATTTTCATTGTTATTGTAACACTGAAACCCCTTTTTATCATGAGATCTTTCTGGCACTTCAGCAAGTGAATATCTACATTATAATACAAATCCATCTCCTATTTTCTGACTCCCTGTGCAGACATTCCCAAACTGCTCTGCAGATGTTGGGTTAATTTGGCATGCACAGGGCATATTTCAAGGATTAGGCTTTAGGTAATTTATTTCCCTTTCTCCTGGGCCCTAAATGAGGTGAGTTTGCAATCATCTTCCATTGTGACCTGATTTATGGCATATATCCACCATTCATCTACTTTTTCTTAACAATGGTGATGCGATTTGTAGTTTCAGTTTGAGAGCGAACAGCTAAGAAAGAATTTCTGAGATAGTTTTGGTGCAAAAAGGTGATTTTATTATAGCATGGGGACAGGACCCAAGGGCAGAAAGAGCTGTATCTACAAATATGAGGGATGACTGATTATATATTTTAAGTTTGTGGAGGGGGTTGGGGTAGGGGTAACATAAGTTTCCAAGAAATTTTTGTATGCTGAAAGCAGGGTCTTGCAGGACCTTGAAGATTTAGCTATTGTCAAGATAAGGTTGCTTTTAGTCTTTAATGAAATATAAACATTAAGGCATTAAGGCAGCCATGAACCCCTTGAGGCATGTCATGTCCTGCATCTATCAGTGGGCTGCAGGCTGTAAGGAGATTTAACATAAACTGCATTTTTCTTGCCTTTGTTCTCATCAACGGGGCAAGCAGTGGAGAGCTAGATTACAGTTTTCCCCTAGTCCTGAGCCATTCAACCCAGACCCACGGTCGTTGTTACTCTTACCTTGTTGCCATCGACAATCCCACACTGAACAGACTAAAACTTTTTTAAAAGCTCTGCATATATTGGGGCGCCTGGGTGGCGCAGTCGGTTAAGCGTCCTACTTCAGCCAGGTCACAATCTCGCGGTCCGTGAGTTCGAGCCCCGCGTCAGGCTCTGGGCTGATGGCTCAGAGCCTGGAGCCTGTTTCCGATTCTGTGTCTCCCTCTCTCTCTGCCCCTTCCCCGTTCATGCTCTGTCTCTCTCTGTCCCAAAAATAAATAAAACGTTGAAAAAAAAATTAAAAAAAAAAAAAAAAGCTCTGCATATATAGGTCAACTGATATGCCAACCAAGGTTTTCACTGTGATCTAAATGTAACAATACTCAAGTTGTGGGGGAAAAAAAACAATCCAAGAATGAAGGTGGTTTCTTTTTTTCTTTTTTCTTTTTTTTTTTTTTTTGCCTATTTAGAAGTAATTACATTTAATAATTTTTTTTAAGTTTTTAAATTTATATTGAGAGAGACAGAGTGGGAGAGGGGCAGAGATAGAAAGAGAATCCTAAATAAGCTCTGTGCTCAGCGCAGAGCCCAACATAGGCCTCGATCTCACAAACCGTGAGATCATGACATGAGCCAAAACCATGAGTTGGACACTCAATGGACAGCCACCCAGGAGCTCTTAGGTTTAATTACATTTAAAACAAAGATATGTTTACAATCGCTCAGCAATGTCCCTAAGCACATCATGGATATGTTTAGAAACATTGTTCTTATTATAATTAAGTAGACTCCATATTTTCTTTTTGCTAATTTTTTAAAAGACAGTTTTAAATGTTATCCTTTACAAGGCACTATTTCATAGTAGGTGCTTTCTACAAGTTATCTTATTAAATGTCTTATTTACAAGACATCAATGAAAGCTTAATTGATATGTTGATATTGACATGTTAATTCATTTGGATTTAACAGTTCATCATTTATAGAAGACTGATTGATTGACCAAGTTTTTGAAAAACCTTTCCTTTTAAAGAACAGAAAAATTGTTTCAGTCAGATGGCATAGTACAGATGGTAACATCTTCCCATCATTAAGTTGAGACGTGACCTTGTAAATATGCACGAATAGGTATCAGGATCTGGATTTAAGGTAGCTTGTTTTCTTATGGATTTTGATTATCTACAAAGCTAGATAGAAATTCATTGTTCTGACTCATGTGAAACATGGAAATAATCACTAAAGACTGATTTAATTAAAATATGTTTGTAGTGGACATTCAGGACTGAGATCAGGATCCTTTGTGAGGAAACTGGGAGGCTTATTTGGTAGTTATGGAAGCTGTATAAATACTAAGCAAAGGATTGTGGTGATGATCACTTAAAAATAAACACTAGCAAATGAAAATTCTTATTGCTGGCATTAACCATTTTAAAAACATTTCTAAGAGCATCTGGGTGACTCAGTCGGTTAAGCATCTGGCTCTTGATCTCAGCTCACGTCCTGATATCAAGGTTGTGAATTCAAGTCCCACATTTGTAGCCTACTTAAAACAACAACAACAACAACACCCCACATCTAGTCTTCCTCCTTTAATGAACACTCTTCCTCGTGCCTAAATTTACTGGGGAAAAAGGAGTAGGGGAAAATAACTTGGACTTTATTAGAAATTACAAAATTGCCATTCACTTAATTTTCTCCCCTTTGGAGGCAGAGAATAAATCCTGTTGTAATAGTTAGAAGAAGAAAATGAAATCTGTAGCATTTTCATGTCTTTAAGTAATCATTCTTACTATGTTCTTACTACATTAGTTCTGTTCTACAAGCGTGGAATTCAGTTCTTGTATTCACCATGCAGCTTTTTCTTCCCACGAGGAACACGGCCCAGAGACAATGGCGACTTGATATTTAACCGATCCCTTTCAGCCTCTTCTTCCTCGTTGTAGCGCTCATCCTCTTCATCTTCCACATCACTGCTCTGAGGACTAGAGACCTGAGACCCTGAAGGGGAAGGTGGAACTGAGGAAGGCCTGGGATATTTAAATCCTTCTGTCTGCCAAAGACAAAAATAAGTCACAAACACTATAATGACTTTTTGAGTTTTCCAATGCTGTAAACAGTTTGCATGTGCATTTAATAAAAAAGCATAGTTGGGTATTTTTTATGGTCTGTTCATGAGCTATTGTCTTTGATTTATTTTGATTCTGATACCAGCAAGCTCAGGAGAGATTCATTAAATAAATAACTTCCTTTTATTATGCACTGAAATGTGCCAGGTGCCATCTATCTATCTACCTACCTACCTACCTACCTACCTATGTTATCTTATTCCTAGTAACAACACCAATAAATTTGTTTTTCCCACATACAGAAGATAACTGAGGATTAGAGAGGTCAGATGACTTGCCCAAGGTCACACAGCATGACCCTGTGTTAGGGCAAAGATTTGCATCAGGGCTATGATCACTCCAGATCCTTTAATATCAACTGTTATGTTACGCTGCTGATATTCTCAGTCTCTATGTCACCTTTCAGATTTGCTCATTGAAATTGCAGAATATGGGCATTCTGGACATGCATGGACAACCACCATTAGAAAGAGTCCTGGAAGCCAGGTCACTTAGTTTACCCTGAAATTCCACCAGTTACTTTTAGTTCAGTTAATGAGTAAATATTACTAGATTTAATCAAATTGCCCTTCTACCTAAGATTCACTCAGATAACTCATTTGTTAAACAAGAGCTAAGCACAACTATGGGTCTGGCACCATAATGTCACTGAGGAAACAAAGATGAAAACCAAGATTCTTGCCCTTTAAGAGCACACATGCTTGACCAGGGAGGACAACTGTATAAAATAGTTGCAGCCCTCGTCACTCTGTATCTCAACTATTTGTGCACATTATTATCATGTCATACCTATACAATCACTGCAAGGTTCAGATATTTTGCCTGAAAGCAATAAAAAAGAAAAGAAAAAACGAGCTGAGTCATGCATTTAGGACCTGGCTCAAAGCAGGAGCTCAATACTTACTAATTGAATACTTTGAATAAATGGATGAATATAGGTGAATTACCATCAAGTAGAGTGACTGCCTCTAAATAAGCTAAACAATTAACCCTATTAAAATCATGAACATGAGAGTTGGAATTTGTATTCTGAAGGGTTTTAAAAATGCTGTCATGTTCCATATGGGCAAATTCTACCTTGGGTTAACTTTTTAGATCCATTTCCCTTGAGACTTGATGGAGGTAGACCATAAGTTGTATTATTAAGCAAAATTGATTATGGTAAAAGTGACTCCTGACTGGGAGATTACATCTGAACTCAGAGGATTTAAAAATACTTGACAAGGATTATAGCTTTGGGGAATCCCTGAATTTGATGACTCTTATAACTGTACATATTCTTTGTGGAGATCATGGAAGCTGTGAGATATTGGCTCCTGGGCAGGGGTGGGGGGGGTGGGGGAGGCATAAAACTACTAAGCTAAGATACATCTCATACCTAATAATATAGGTTTCATCTTTTTTACACCTAAGCTTTTACCTGGTGGATAGGGTGGCAAAGAAGTGTAACTTTTGGACTGCTATGTAGACTGCTGTAAGGATGAATCCCACTGAAGAGAAATGTCTGATGCTGCCCTACTTCAAGCTGTGTTTCCTATCTTATATCCTTCTAAGAGAATGTGGTGACAAGTAGCCATGAATATAGATATCTAAGTGAACTTCAGAAGAAGACTCCTGGGGGCACTGCTGACTGCTACATGAATACTCATCTAATCCAACTCCTACTGTGGTTCCTGAATTCACTCTTTCTCTTGCCAAGTAGTCACCTGTATCTCAACATTTCCTTGGATAGCAAATTCACTGGCTATGAAAGCAGGGCAGTTCATTTCTCAATAACTCTCAAGAGAATGGGGGTCTAACAAAGCAGTTTCAAGCACTAAAGCAGGGAGAGTTTTAATGTGGGGGTGCTTCTCCAACAACATGAATTAGTTGACTGTCTGCCCATCTGCATAAGGCTAACTCTGAATCAAGGGCTTTGACTTGATCTGATCTGTTGGTTCCTCTATTCTTTGCTTTAGGGCAAAATTATGAAAAAAGTATAATAGTTTGTGTATTTAACTTCTAAATTCAAAGGTATTGGTAGGACTTACCATACATAAGAAATTTAGTTTTCAAAACAAATCCACAATACATAAAACACTTACCGTTGGTGGTGATGTAGGTTCCATATGGAATTTATCTGGAAAAGCTCTGCTTAATGTCAGGTACCTGGCATGTTGATAATACTGTGATAGAAAACCAATTCACAGGTTTAAAAAATTATATATTTCAGTAACCAAGTTATTATGTAAAATCTTATTCTCCTAGTTATAAAATCCATTTTTAAAGTGGTAAAACTGGGGCGCCTGGGTGGCTTGGTCGGTTAAGCGTCTGACTTCGGCTCAGGTCATGATCTCACGGTCCGTGAGTTCGAGCCCCGCGTCGGGCTCTGTGCTGTTCAGAGCCTGGAGCCTGTTTCAGATTCTGTGTCTCCCTCTCTCTCTGCCCCTCCCCTGTTCACGCTCTCTCTCTCTGTCTCAAAAATAAATAAAAACGTTAAAAAAATTAAAAAAAATAAAGTGGTAAAACCTATTCACCCTAAATTTAAAAACAGAAAAAAATGAGTTTATAGTTTTATTATTTTCCAGTGAATATGTAAAGAAATACTACAAAAAGTTGGAGAGAGGGGCACCTGGATGGCTCAGTCAGTTGAGCATCAGACTCTTGGTTTCAGCTCAGGTCATGATCTCACAGTTCATGGGTTCAAGTCCCGCATTGCGCTCCACGTTGACAGCACAGAGCCTGCTTGGGATTCTCTCTCTCTCTCTCTCTCTCTCTCTAATAAATAAATAAACTTAAAACAAATGTTGGAGGGAAAAGCCATACTGACCTTACTGAAAACTCTGAATTGAGCACTAAGGGGACTGAAAACACTGGCTTCATTCCACAGAAAAGCAGTATAACATGGGGAAAAGGTGGGGTCTGAATAATCAGACAAACTGGACTTAAATTCTGCTTCAGACCTTAGGTAAGAAACATAACTTGTAATAGCCTTATCATTCTGGTTTTATTCCAAAATGCAGACAGTACAATTAATCACCCAGGATTGTAAGGCACTGTCATTAGCATGTGTAGACAGTCTGCAAATGGAGCATCTATCATTTTTCAGGGAGAGTTTAGCAATATCTAAACAGATATATTATGTGAAGGCAAAGTCAACTCATTCTTTATTAAATCATCCAGTGCTAAGATATATAGACCTCTGGGTACTTACAAACCTATTACATAATTGAAAGGAGGTATTTTCTGTACTTGTCATTTGAAAAACAAAGTTATTCCCATTCCCACTGTATTTGAGGCATATGGTCACGTTATGGCTTAGAGCCAAACAAGATACAAATGTTTCTTTAGATGTTTTCCTCATATTCATGAACCAATACCTGTAATGCATCAAGTTAAGCACTGACAATAGAGTAACTGGTAAGATCACAGCTAGCTCCTGACGGATTTGCTGTTACAAGCTCAAACTAAATATGAAGATTTGAAGTTAGGACTTTCCGAGTTTATAGTAAGTAAAAAAGTACGTGAAAACATTACTGGAGATTTTAACAATGATGGTACTAAGTTGACTTTGTAGATTATGACAAGAATCTCAATTTTTATAATTCAGTGGGATTTTTAAAGTGGCTCTCTTGATCACAGACTTGCTTACTCTGCCCAAGTATCTCCAATCCAGAAGATCGGAGAGCCTCTCAGTTCGGTTTCTCTGAATAATTCTCTGGCGGCGGGACTGTTTGCAAAATCCATACAGAAACTGAGTCAGCTGATTGCAGGAATCATCTGGAGACTGGAACCGCCTGTCAACAATGTAAATGCCTGAGGGGCACAAAAACCAAAGCACAGATAAACGTAGGGCTAACCTTGGAATGTTTCTTCTCCCTTGGAATATTTCTTCTCCCATTCCTTACATTCTATCTCAGACTGCCACATGCATTACCCACTCCCTGACAGCCCCCACTGCCTGTTTCATCTTTCCCCTTCCAAGACTGTATTTCTCCCGTGATCTCCTCCTAATGGTTCACCACTGTCACCAACACACAGCCAACACAATGGATCTTGTTAAAAAATTTGGCAGCAGAGGAAAACCCTGATCAGGGATTCTCCCCAGGACTCCTCACTAACCAGAATCTCTGGGGTGAGACCTGGGTGTCAGTGATTTTTTTTAGGCCCCTTGGTGTTCCCACCATGCACCACTGGCTGAGAACCACAGCTGTAGCCTGAGGAAAGAGAACCGTGACAATGCAAGGGTAGGAGGCCAGGAAATTGGCAATGTGTGGGCAATCTATCCCCTCTCCCTTTCTTGCTGCTGGGCAACATGGACACAGAGATGGTGGTATGCAAATTCTCCCGCCATCTTAAACAATTTAAGTGAATTTTGCTAACTTGGCACAGACCCTTAAAATAATGACACTGGGGCGCCTGGGTGGCTCAGTTGGTTGAGCGTCCGACTCGGCTCAGATCATGATCTCACAGTCTGTGGGTTCAAGCCCCGCGTCGGGCTCTGTGCTGACAGCTCAGAGCCTGGAGCCTGTTTCAGATTCTGTGTTTCCCTCTTTCTCTGACCCTCCCCTGTTCATGCTCTCTCTCTGTCTCAAAAATAAATAAATGTTAAAAAAAAAAATTAAAAAAAAAATAATGACACTGACCAATCTACATACTCTAAGGCCATGGTTACTGTAATGTCACTTCTAGATAGTAAAGGGCCAAACCAGTTCAGAAAATAAAAAGATAAAAGGGCCAGACTTGTCCAAGTTTAGCATGCCTTTTATGGTTTGTCTTTTGGACCATATATTTAATATTAACAGCATTTTTATGTTTTCTGTGAACCACATAATTAAATCTACTTTTAATTAAACAAGAAGGATAAACATTACTTTAATCATCCGGATAGCTTTAGAGTTAGGCTCCATAAAGACCCTGTGCTTTGTTTGGCTAGAGGTCACTTCTCCCTGTGTTGGGTGAATGATGAAAAACCTCACCCACCGTAGGCAGTAGGATCAGCCACGTGCTCCTGCATGAAACAGCCAAAGCCGGACAGGTTTGTTGTCACACTGGGGATACCCATCACCGTACATTCAGCTGCCGGGGAAATAGACAAACGCTTGGCTTCAGACCAGTCCCTATATCCTCTAATGCACGCAGAGGGGTCAAAAGCCCAAGTCTGCCTAGTAATAGTGATGTTTATTTTGTACCAGGCACAGTACTGAGCTCTTTACATGTATTAACTCATTTAATCTTCTCAACAACCATGTGAAGTGAGACTGTCATTATCTCCATCTTACAGATGAAGAAATTGAGGTTAAATAATTTGCCCAATGTCATAAAGCCAGGGAATGGGGTAGAGCTGGGATTTGAAGGCAGGCGCTCAGCTCCAGGGCTCTTGTTTGGAACTGCTACTCTATGCTGCCTCTCTCATTCCAGCTGGTTTTGTTTTTTGCTCCATTCTAAGCCATGTCTCAAAGTAAGTGGTGAGTTTGTGGTGTCAGTAAATAGACTTTGGACATGAGCACCTCCTCCTATCAAATTAATCTGCCATGCCACAGATCCCTCCCCTTTTCCAAGTGGTCCCTGAACCTAGTCCTCTCTCACCTTCTAGTCAAAACTTGTTTTTCATAAAATAGCAGATATGGTTTTTGTTTTGTTTTGGTTTGGTTTTGGTTTTCTTGTTTGTTTTTAAAGAAGTATTACTTCTCAGGGTGCCTGGGTGGCTCAGTCAGTTGAGCGCCTCAGGATATGATCTCACAGTTCCTGGGACAGAGGCCCATGTCAGGGTCTGCACTGACAACTCTCTCTCCCTGTCCCTCCCCTGCTCGCAGACACCCTCTCTTTCTCTCTCTCTCAAAATGAATAAATAAGCGTTTTTAGAAAAAGAAATGTTACTTCTCACAAGGATGTCTTCATTTTTAACAAGGAATTTACATTTGTTTATGGAATTACTCTTGGTTGACTGGTAGTTTGGGGTTAAAAAAAAGATTTCCCCACTGTTCAAGAAGTAATACAATTTAGACAGTGGCCTTCCTTCTCTTCTGCTCTGCAAGTATTTCCTCTAGAGAGATGTGGTTTCCTAATTTGGTGGAGTGGGGTTGGTGGAGGAGAAAATGAGACAGGGATTATTGACTCATACAAGAATCTAATGCAAACCTGGACTTCCTTCCCAGAAAAATTCTTATGCATATATGTATAAGGAATTTTGCCTACAATTCCACACAAGTTCACTGAACCTTATTTTTATTAAATACTCATTAACACACATGTATTGAAATACCAGGTACCCATAACCTTAGTATATGTTCATTGAATGAATTTAATGGAGCATGTGCTAATATTCATTAGATTTTCTCAAAACACAAAACACAGACTTAAATGAATACTTTCTGGAGTGTGTTAAACTTAGTATCAGATAAAAAGTTATTCTAAAACAAATAGAGTTATCTAACATGCTAACAGCAAACTTACACCACAGAAGAGATATTGTTATTCCTGTAACTATAGGTTAGGTGAAGGGTGGCCAACTTTTTTTGGGTAATTCAAAACAGACAATGACTCATTTACTATGGAGTATTTCTCAACCTTATTTTCCTATCTACTTATCTTTTATAACACCTTTGGTGGCCTTTATCTTAAAACACTAGATGTATCTCCTCTATCATTTGGGTTAAGTTTATCTTTGTCCTATAAAATGACATTTGGTGGAAAGTCCTCTGTAATTTATAGAACATTCTCTTTACCCAACATAAATGACTTCCCATATCCCTCAGTCATTCATGCTTTTATTTTGTGCTTCTTTATTTTTGAAACTTCCTTGATAATAAAGTATGTTACTTCCTAGAAATAAAAGGAACAAAAGTCAATAACAAAATGTTAAGTCCACCAGTAAAATGTGCATTTGATGTATCTTAAAGGATAGACGCTCTATTATAAACAATTTAAGATGACATGTGGGCATTTCATAAGGAGATGTCATCTTTACAAAAGTGAACTGATACCCATAACAATTTTTAGAACTACAAGAGTGATAGCTGGAGGAGTTAGATCAATAGCTTTTCTGTGCCATATTTCAGGAGGAGATAATTCTTTATCTATTTCCCCCCAAAAGTTTTCATGTTTTTACAGCTGCTGGCAAATTATTCTTGGTGGAACTTAAAATGATAGAATAGGGCCTTATGTCAAAAGATGCAGACACTTCATGTTGCTCTTGTTGTAAAGTAAGATCCTATTTATATAGAATTTTATTCTTTTTCCATCTAGATGTCTATTTATTTGAGAGAGAGAGAGAGAAACAGAGAGAGAGAACGAGTGGGGGAGGGGCAGAGAGAGAGGGAGACAGGATCCAAAGTGGGCTTTGTAGTGACAGCGGAGAGCCGGATGTGTGGCTTGAACTCACGAACCACAAGATCATGACCTGAGCCAAAGTCATAGACTTAACTGACTGTGCCACCCAGGTATCCCCTATATAGAATTTTAAAATCTATATTGAAATTCTGGGATCAGAATACAAAGATTAGAAAAATTCTTCCTCTACATAATTCAACCTATGATCTCCCTAACCTTGACTGGGGCTGCCTCTCAGTTGGGCAATGATGACATTGAGATCAGAAAGCAAAATGTATTAATTATTTGTAAAAAACATTTTCTGAACCTTTTCTTTTAAAATTCTAAATGGAATTATATTTAAATAAAAAGGAAAATCTCTGATTGCCAATGTGAGAAGGAAAAGTTAGTATTACATTCTTTCCACTGTCATATATGTAAAGTACTTGTTTCCTTTTTAATAGGCATTTCTGTACAAATACAAATTGAGTGCTCTTGATACCAATGACAACCATGCTCATAAGGGACAAAAATGGAAAACAGATAGTGGATCCAAGAATCCACCACTAGAGAGAAAAGAACAAAAGGAGGATGAAGAGGTAAAAGGGCCTGAATGGAAGGATGTCACTGGTCATAATACCTACCACTGAATTGGCATTTTATCTTAAAAGTACCTCTTTTTTGAATGACAAGGGTATGAAGAAAACTTTTCACTGTACACCTTCTTATATTATTTATTTCTTTAACTATGTGAATGTGTTCCCTATTAAAAATTAAATACAGGGGCGCCTGGGTGGCGCAGTCGGTTAGGCATCCGGCTTCAGCCAGGTCACGATCTCGCGGTCCGTGAGTTCGAGCCCCGTGTCGGGCTCTGGGCTGATGGCTCAGAGCCTGGAGCCTGTTTCCGATTCTGTGTCTCCCTCTCTCTCTGCCCCTCCCCCGTTCATGCTCTGTCTCTCTCTGTCCCCAAAATAAATAAACGTTGAAAAAAAAAAATTTAAAAAAAATTACATACATCCATTAATTTTTAAAAAACCCACTTTGAAATAAGTTTTAGAGACTACTTTTGCTGGACCATTGTTTTTCATATTAAATTTACTTGTAGTCAATTTCTCCTTCACATGGATAGTTGGGACTGGTAGAGATAACTCAATAACATGTAATCTTTATAAAACATTCTTTTTCTTTGTAATATAATGTATTATTATAATTTAACCTTAGTGGAGTTACATATCAGCTTTGAATATTATATCTATATGCATAAAATATTAATAAAATTTAAAACATTCCCCAATCTATACAAGCCATATACCTGGAGTATAACCCCATGGTTCATAGTATGAAGGAAAAACTCCTAGATGACAACCTCGAACAAACTCTTCATAATCCATGGGTAATAAGGGGCTGGTGGAGGATAGGAACTCTGGGTGCAAAATCACCTAAAAAAGGGAAAATTCTAATGAGAAAAAAAGAATAGAAGAAATTAAAGCAAAAAATCTACCGTTTGGTATTCTGATACTGTAGAATCCTTGTGTTCTAGATTCAGGGAGAGAGAGAGAGAGAGAGAGAGGGAGAGAGAGAGAGAGAGAGAGAGAGAGGAGTAAAAAGAAAAGAAAAAAGTGTGGGTGCATTTCTCTCTCTCTCCATTCTGTGTATCTAGTCTGTGGACCTACTTTCCCTCAGGTTCCAAGGCCTAGATTGGAGGAAAAATGTGCCCGTTTTTGTTCTCATGCTGAACTACATCCTTCAACCCAGATTTCGTTGACAATAAGGGTATTGTTTTAAGACTTTATTTCCAAGTAATCTCTACACCCAACATGGGGCTCAAACTTACAACCCTGAGATCAAGAATCACATGCTCTACCGACTGAGCGAACCAGGCATCCCAACAATAAAGATTTTATTTTGTTTTCTAGTGGCTGACTGTTGTCTTATTTCTCAATTGCTCCTACCTCAGGCAGCAAAGAGGAGAGCTATGTAATAGGCCATTCTCCATTGCCCCAGGCATGAGTTAGCCCAGAGTAACCGAGCTAAGAGACAGAGATACTAGGAATCTAATCTAAATTAGATCAGACTAGAAGCCTTCATCCAAATCACAATCCTCTCTCACCTCGGGGTAATCACCTCCTAATCCATCTCCCTGTTTCTATTCTGGCAAGGTGTCTACTCAGTACAACGACTAGAGGGAACCTTTAAAAATGCCAACCCCTCCTCTGCTCAAAATCCTTCAGTGGCTTCCCATTTCACTCAGAGTAAAGTCCAAAGTGTTTACCATGGTCTTTTAAAGCAGTGGTGTCCAGGTAAATGTTTAAGAATGAAAAATCAAAATATAAGTATATATTTGTACATAAATTTACTACACATTTTACTGATATAAAAGATGTATAGCATACAATTTCCAAATAATAAAAAAAGTACACACAAAAACCTACACACAGATGTTTGTATCAGCTTTATTCATAATTGATAAAACATGGGAGCCGTTAAAATATCCTTTAATAGGTGAGTGAATAAATAAACTGCAGTACATCCAGACAATGGAATATTTTTCAGCACTAAAAAGAAATGAGCTAGCAAGCGATGAAGAAAAATGTACATGGAAAAAAAATGTATATTACTAAGTGAAAAAAAGCCAATCTGAAAAGGTTAAATATTGTATGAATCCAACTATTTGACATTCTGGAAAAGGCAAAACTATGGAGACAATAAAAAGATCAGTGCTCAAATGGGGGCAGGGTTGAATAGGCAGAGCACAGAAGATTTTTAGGACAGTGAAACTATTCTGTATGATTTTGTAATGATGGATACATGTCATACATTAATCAAAACTCACAGAAGGTACAAACAATGTAAACTACGGACCTTGGTAGGTAATAATGTGTCAGTATAGGTTCACCAATTGTAACAGATATACCATTGTGGTTGGAGATATTGATAGTGGGGAAGGCTACATATGTTCCCAGGGAAGGAGTACATGGGAGCTTTCTGTACTTTCTGCTCAACTTTGCTGTGAACCTAAAACTTATCTAAAGAATAGTTTATTAAATATATATGTAATGTACTCCTTATTATAAATTCTAGATGATTAAATACTCCCAAATGCTTTTGTTGGCTTTGGCCAAAATCTTGTATTCAGAACTAGTACATGGTTTCAATGCCTGAACGTAGTAGTTCTGACGTGAGATAAATGTCAGAACTTCATAGGTTCATTGGTGACATGAGTGACTTCTTCCCTGAGTTGGACATTAGCCTTTGAATACTGGAAAAATATCTCCTCATGTTTTTGTGCCACTCACAATTTTGTGTAACAACCATAGACACAACCCCCCTTTTTTTTTTAATTTTTAAGTTTATTTATTTATGACAGAAAGAGAGAGAGAGAGACAGCATGAGTGGGGGAGGGGCAGAGAAAGAGGGAGAAACAAAATGGGAAGCAGGCTCCAGGCTGTCAGCACAGAGCCCGATGTGGGGCTTGAACCCATGAACCGTGGGACCATGACCTGAGCCTAAGTCGGCTGCTTAACCAACTGAGCCACGCAGGCGCTCCTAAACACAATCCTTTTAAGTTTAATCTGCATTGTTAATACTTTATCCCTTTCTTAAGTTTAGACAATCGAGACACAATTAATCAAGCCATGATGGGTAGTGTTCACTGTCTTCACTCTCTAGAGACTCCCACCATGGCCAGTTCCAAGTTATCAATGTGATGTCACTGAACCAGAAATAGGAAGGGCAGTAGCACGTCCTTATAGAATATTTCCACCGTGTGGGCACAATAGCCATAAATAACTTCAAGTGCATAGGTAATCATAGAATGTAATAAACAATAAGTATGTGATGTTTTTTGAGCATTACCTTTCATTTTAATATAATTGATTTATATTTTAAGTTGATATAATTTAAGTTTTTGATTAATATTTTTTAAGTAAAATTTTTTTAAGTTTATTTTTAGATATTTATTTATTTTTGACAGAGAGAGAGAGAGAGAGAGAGAGAGAGAGAAAGACAGAGCATGAGTGGGGGAGGGGCAGAGAGAGAGGGAGACACGGAATCTGAAGCAGGCTCCAGGCTCAGAGCTGTCAGCACAGAGTCCGACACGGGGCCTGCACTCATGGAAAGTGAGATCATGAGCCAAAGTCAGATCTCAACCGACTGAGCCACCCAGGCCCCAGTTGATATAATTTAATTTTTTAAAATATCTGTTTTTAAAACTGGCTCACAAAATTTCTGAAAATTTAGCAATTGGCTCTCGTGGGCTGGTCTGAGCCACTACTGGGACTATGCTGCCTGTAATGTTATGCAAAGGCAGGGACAAGGGAGACAATGGCTATCATTAGAAAGCTATGAATAGAAAAGCTACTTAACTGGTTACTTGGATGAAAGAATTCTGCTATTTCTCCTATTTATTAACATTTTTCTTGAATCATTATTAGGTAATTTGTTAGTTTCTCCCCATAGTTAAGTAGTTATTAAAAATAAATAGAATCTGAGGGCACCTGGGTGGCTCAGCTGGTTGAGTGTCTGACTCTTGACTTCAACTCAGGTCATGATCTCACAGTTCATGAGTTTGAGTTGCACATCTGGCTCCAAGCTGACAGTGCAGAGACTGCTTGGGATTCTCTCTCTCTCTGCCCCTCCCCAACTTGTGCTCTTTCTCTCTCTCTTAAAATAAGTAAATACACTTTAAAAAAAAGAAAAAAATTTAGAAAATAAAATCTGATTTTAAAGTATTGGGATTATAATTATATATATAAAATTCATATACTGTATATTATAGTATTTATATTGTGTATATATACATCATATACATCATATGCAAACATATATATAATATAATATATAACATATATATGCTTATATATATGTTTATAATATATATGCTTATAATGTGTATATATTATAATATACATATAAATATATATTGTTTATATTGCATATATACATAATATACATACATATATACATAATATAATATAATAAAAGAATAAGTATATATTTTTCCAAAGATAAATTTTTCTATATTTTTCCAAAGAGATTACTTTCAAGAAAAACCCTAATTTAGATATATAAGAACAATAACAGTTATATAATATGTTCTATATTATAAATAATGTTTTCATATATCAATTCACTTAATCCTAGCAGAATCATGATATTCTCATTACCCTAATTTTATTTTATTTTATTTTAAAGTTTATTTATTTATTTATTTTGAGAGAAAGGGGAGGGTGGGGGGAGCGAGAACGAGTGGGAGAGGGGCAGAAGGAGAGAATCCCAAGCAGGCTCTGCACTGTCAGAGTGGAGCCCAGTGTGGTGCTCAAACTCATGAACCGTGAGATCATGACCTGAGCCGAAATCAGTCGTCGGCCACTTAACCGACTGAGCCACCCAGGCACCCGATATTACCCTAATTTTAGAAATAAATTATAAACATTAGAAATAAATTATATACATTAGTTATATTGCAGGAGATCCATAAACAGGAGATAGGTTAAACTTAAAAAAATAAAATGGTAAAACATCCAAAATTGACACAAACAGCAAAGTAAAAATAGGTAAAATGTTTTCCTCCATAAAGCAAGACCCGAGTTCCTATCATGTGCAAAGTACTGCAGTAGGAAAGCAACAAAACACAGATACTGACTGTGTCCAGGCAGTCATCAAATGGGCAGCCCACTGTACTCCTGGCAAATATCAGCAAACAGGGATTCAAAACTCATTGTGTCTACTTTGGCATTTGGAAGCCTAGGAAAATTTGTACTCTCCAAAGACCATTTCGGAACATGAAAACATCATGGCTCATTCGTTTTGTTTCCAGCCAAACAGAATAACAGCACAACTAAAATAAGAGAACAGCTCCTGTGGGCCCTAAACAGCCAATTACAAGGGCCCAGGGCAGAGGAAAGGATGTTTGAGGTCAGCCCAAGGTCATAGGGAGGATTAAATGAGATCCTGTGTACAAAACCCCCTAGCAGAGAACCTGGCTCACAGCAGGCCTTGGATCAGTAGGGAAAAAACAAATAAAAACCAAAAAGTTGCCTGACCATATTTATCCTGTGAGGGAATCAAGATCCCAGGAAGTTAATTTACTTTCACTGAGTGGTGGCACAGGGTCAAGACCTGGAATCTGCACTGTGGGGTTTCCCCACTACACACACTGCCGAGACAGAATTGATGATAAATTCAAATTCAAAATAATCTGCAACACTTCCTGAATCAAATGGCCAGTCATATGGAGAGCTCATCATTGCACTCTGAAGGTTAAGAATCACTCGATAGAGTTCTATAAATATTCAGATGATCAAATATGCACTTACATTAGTTAAGCTTTTAAGGTTAGTGTTAAGCTTTTAAAGGATACCATTCATAAAATAAAATACCTGATTCTGAATTGACCCAAATCCATCTCAGTGCTTTGAGTGTATATTGTTATGAAGGAGTTATTCTTTTATTTCTTGTGTCAGTGTTTGCTTTATGATAATAATCAATGAATGTCTCAAAAGATTCATGAGTGTAACTGTATAAACATAATTTGTATGAGACAAACTTCCTTCCCCATTCACTCTACATAAGCCATGTGGTTTTATATCTCTGGGCCTCTTCATCTACTTCCTCTGCCTGTTATCTTCATGATCAACTGATACCGGCATGATAAACTCCAGCTGGCTCCTCAATTAAGATCTAGCTCACAGGTCATCCATTTTATAAAACGTGATCAAGTCCTCCAGGCAAAGATAAGTCCTCCATTCTCTACTCTCATCAAACTGTTTACACCTCTTTTCTAAGAGTCATTGAGTACCAGGATTTGCTAGTATAGGGCTAAGTACAGATAAAAGCTAACATTTATACTGCATTATTATGCACCAGGTACTACATTAAAGGCAACATCCATCATTTATTTAATCCTCACAACAGTTCTGTGAGTGTGGGTTTATTTGACCACCGTTTCACAGATGAGAAGACTGAAGTCCATTATGTCATTTTACAAACTGATTAAGTGGCAGAGATTAAAGCCAGACAAGGGATCTTGATTGACAGCCCCAACTGCTTCCCCTGTGGAGAAACTACAGCAGTTGCTCTTAGCCTATAGACTTGGCAGAGGTGGGGACAAGGGCCAACTCATTTCTGCCCAACCAATGACTTTTTAAATGGGTGACATTTGTTTGGAAAAATCCCTACTGTGAATAGGAATCCCTATTAAAATTGTCGCAAGGCACCCATCTGCCTACCAACCTGAAACTGATAGGTGAACAAAACTTGTCAAGGTAAAACATAAAGGAAAGGTTTAGAAACAGGGAAAAGACATATGTAGTAACACTTATCATATTTTAAATAAGTCAACAGTAAACCACAATCACACACACGTGTGTGCGCACACACACCTCACATGGGCATCTTTTGTATTAAGAAAGGAAGCACTGTAAAATAATTCTGAATCTGTGTTAGCTATAGATTGTACTGTTGAAAACTATTTTTGTGTGTGGGCACAGGAGTGCATGTGCCTCTGTGTGTGTGAGTGCGCGCGTGTGTGTTTCCTTCCCCTAACTGACCAGCCATGTTAATGGTCTGTTTTTCCCCCTCATGAGTCACTACATAGTGCTGCTATGTGTGCATATTTTTCATTTATTTGTGAATTTTTATTAATTCTAGTTTTTGTTAATGACATTTGACTTTCCTTTCTGTAAAAAAAAAAAAAAAAAGGTTGAGCAATTTTTACAACTGGGCTGCAGTCTGTGGGTCTTTACTCCTCATCCTCCTCCCTGCTCTCTCCACCTGTCTGACTACCCCTCCCTGCCTGCCTTTGCCTTCAACCTCTTTATCCTTCACAGGCATTTTCATCAACAAGTGTTTCCACATCTAATCCTGTCTTGGTGTCTGCCTCTCAGAGAATGAAAACTGAGAAAATTCATATGAGACATAATCGCTGCCTCAAAGAACTCCCAGTCTCACTGGAGGAATGGACATAAATATTTTAAAAATACAAATAATTCAGTGTGATGATTCCTAATTTGCAGTAGATAGAAATCATCTTGAGGATGCACATAAGGAGGCAATTGTTCTATTTGGAGTAGATGAATGCATGTTAAGAACAAATAAAGGAAGAGATGACTTCTAGGTTGGATCCCAAAGGAATTGTTAGAGCGGCTGAAGTTAGGGCACTTGAGAAAGAGAGAATAACAAAAACAAAGACACAGAGTTAGGAAAGCATTTGACATACTTAAGAAATATGTACTTGTCCATTCCTGAGAAATTGCTTCACTTCTACCATACTTAAAAAAACAACAACACAGGTCAGCAAAGCATACTTTGTTCAGAGCTCTTAATTTCAAGAGACCTTCCAGGCTCAGTCTTCCCAAGAGCAAAGGAAGCATGAACCACAGCCATGGTTCCATGCTTCCTGTGCCATCTGTATTTACTATACATATCATGTGCCAGGCACCCAACAAGTCCTCAGGGGAAGAACCACAGATTTAAATATAAGTGTGACATACAAAGTTCTGTAAAGCTGAAAAGAAATTCATAAGTTTTCCTTCTGCCACTATTTCCTTTTTAAGGTGGGGGGGGGGGGGGGACTTGAGAAGGACCAGTCTAATTACATGAAAACGAGGTCAAATTAGTGCTGATACTGAAGTAAGGTATGTTTCTGCAGATCCAATCGTGCTGAAAAACGTAAAGGATGGTGCACCCTTGGGAGATACATCCCTGCATTTTCAGGGAAAAATTTGTAGCCTACCTATTATGTGATGTGTGCTACAGGTAAAACTTTTGGAAATGTAGAAACACAAATGAAAAAATAAGTCACCCATAATTCTATAGCACATATTTTGCATGAGTGTGTGTGTGTGTGTGTGTGTGTGTGTGTGCACAGAATGTGTTTAAATTGGATGGGTAACACCGCATGGGATATTTTATAAACAGCTTCTATCATTTAATTCTGCACTATGAGCTGTTACTATCTACTATCATGAAAATTCCTCCTGACTTAATTTCTGAGATACTTTTCCTCTTCTGACTCTTGCTCCTTTCTTCCACGGACTTTTCCTCTAATCTCTTAAATCTTGAAGTTTTCTTGGGTCAACACTTTTCTCTGCTCACTCAAGCTGGTCTTCCAGCACAGCAGGTTTGGCATTCCCCGGTATCCTCTACTGCCCCTGCACTGACAGCTCCCTTCTAAACCTAGACTCTGTTTTCTAAGTACACACGAAACATCTCTACTTGAATAGCTCACATGTAACTCAGACTCAATCTATCAAAAACAGAACTCAATTCATGATGTGACCTGACCCTCAAGCAAGCTTCTGATAATGCCTTTCCTTAGATTTTAGAAAGTATTGATTAAATAATGAAGCTATCATCCTTGCCTTCACCCTCTTTTTCCTTCCCAATGACCATGGGTCACTAAGTGTGATCTTTTCTGTAGGCAACCACCATTGTTCCGTCCTCTCCAGCACTTCCGGCATGGCCTTTGTAAAGGGCCCTTATCATCTCTCAGCTGTACTTGGTGGGGCGCCCTTAACTTGTCTCCCTCTGCCACACCCACTCATGCTTGTACCAAGGAGTGAATGCGAGATGAGGAATGAATATACGAATGGACTATTTTTTTTTCCAAGAAATTTTGCAGAGAAGTGTGGAAAAGACAGAAACATTTAAAAACATCAAGAGGAGACCAGGTTAAGGCAAAGCTTGTTTGCTTATTAATGTGAGAATATTTAAGGAATGACAGCAAGGGAAGGAGCTAGTAAACCTGGAGCATAAGGGAGGACTAACAGGGGAATGAGATCCCAGAACACCCTCAGAACCTAAAGGAAAAGAAATAATAATAGGTCAAGATTTATATTTGAGGGGTACTGAAGGAATTTAGATCTCATTGAATTCTCTGTTCACCTGATAAGGTGAAAGAAAGAAGAAGAAGTGAGACCTTTGAAAAGATTGGTAAAAGCTTATGACAACTTCATCTGGAATACTGGTGAATGGCTTGAGTAGGGATCAGCAACTATCGTTTACATGTTCACCATTGTGCCCTGCACCAAGCACTGTACCTGGAACATATTTGGCCCTCGGTAAACGTCCTATAGACTAAGCTCCACAGTGGCAGAAACCAGGTCTTATTCATGCAATGAACACTGTGCTTAATCATTGTAGAAACTCAACGGTCAAAAAGAATGACTTGGTCTATAGAAAATTCTATAAAAATATCATTAGCCACACTCTCTGAAACCGGAAGCTTCTCGTATTATCCCTTTAAAGTTGAACTTTATCAGGAAGAAACAAAGAAAAGTCATGCTCATCTCAGAGATTCACTAATTAAAGTAATTCTTAGATTATATTTGTATCATTAAAAATGAGGCAATTTCCTCATTCTTACTGCCAGTCTTGTACAACGTTAAGAATGATACTAAAATAGTCATTATATTTTAATCACCCAAGACAGGAAATACAATTATTTTTTTAGAAATATTATCTGAGGGGTGCCTGGGTGGCTCAGTTGGTTAAGCATCCAGCTTCAGCTCGGGTCATGGTCTCCCTGTTCCCTAATTCGAGCCCTTTGCCAGGCTCTGGGCTGACAGCTCAGAGCCTGGAGCCTGTTTCAGATTCTGTCTCCCTCTCTCTCTGCCCCTCCCCTGCTCATGCTCTCTCTCTCTCAAAAATAAATGAAATGAAATGAAAAAAAATTTTTTTAAAGAAATATCATCTGAAATAGTTCTGATAGGTGTCAAAACAAACACGGGAGGCTTCTAATAAACTCTCAAAAATATATTCTATGTCATTTTGAAATGCCCTATGTAAACAATTAGTTGTACCTTGACTCTGTCTGTGCGGTTGTTGAAAAGTCCGATCCGTCTAATGGTGCTGAGGATGGGATCAGTGGAGTCATCAATCATGTTGTGAGTGGTCACTGGAGGCAAAGACTGTCGCTGAAGTCATAGAGGAAAGAAAATGTCAGTTGTGGAAAGAATGAGTGTGACTAATTTCAACAATAGGTCATTGGCAACACATCATCAGCCTTCAGTCTGCTGAAATGACAGTAATGATGATGACTAAGTTTTGTGTGTGTTTCAGAGGAGGATAATGGGTTGAAGAACTTCCTTCAGATATTATGATACCTTTGTTTTTCACCTGCAGCCACTATGTGAAAGGCCTAGACTTCTTGACTACTTTCAGGATTTATTTAGAATGAAGGTGTCCTGAAATCTTGACTCAAGATGGATGCCTTTCCTGGATCCTTCCTAGCAGGGCTGACCTCTGATGGTTCCTGATGCCTCACTACTGTGACAAGATGTGACACCTAGCTTCCATTTTTTGCAATAAGTTCACTCAACTGAGAAACAGTCACTGTTTCTCACTAGTGAGTTGCCTCACTACTGTGACAAGATGTGACACCTAGCTTCCATTTTTTGCAATAAGTTCACTCAACTGAGAAACAGTCACTGTTTCTCTATCATGACTCAAAATTCCCCGGTATCCCGGCTCTGCTTTTTGAAAATTTTAGGGATGATTTTATCGTCATTGCAATATATACAGTTTTTCAAATGGATATATTCATTCCAAACAAGTTTTTTAAGTGGATACAAGATACATTCCATGAAAATGTTCAAAAGAGCCCTGAAAAGCACCCATAAAACAAGCAAAGTTATTATTTAGGTGAATGCATAAAAAATGACTTTTCTAGCTCTTACGCTTAAACATTTCCCAAACTAGCCCATTCCAATGAATTCAAATATTGATCTAAATTGATTTTAACAATCTCGGGAAGTGATGGGCACTCTTGTCCTTGTTACCTGAGTTGAAAAGATGGCTCTTTTCATAACTGTTACATCATCTCGATCCAAAATATTGTTCATGTCAGGAATTTCTCCTCTGTGAGGAAAACCGTGTTAATAACAAAAATAAAAATAACTGGCACTAATTCAATGTTTCCTATGTGTCAGACTCTGTTTCAAGCACTTCAAAAGTAAATATAAAACAGAGTTTTATATAAATATAAATATAAAAACATATGGTTTCCTGATGAAGCTTATAGACAAATTCCTAAAGCATGAAGAAAAATAAAAGAACAATTTTGATAGCATAAAAGAAAATGAAAATTTTTAAACATTAATGTTGACCATGAAAAGGACATTTTCATCATATTTAGCCTAGTCTTGAGTACCATGTTCCAAAGTGGCCATAACTGTCCATCTATGAGTTAATATTTTTACTGGTAAAAGGAAATGATTCATGCCTGCCACCATCGATCAGAAGATAACACAGCTTTCTCTTCATATTATAATAAAATCCAAATATTTTATATAATTATTATTTTATAATACATTTTAATTTGATTTGATTATTTAGATTTTATTTTATAAATTTATATATTTAATTTATTTCATTATGCATTTAATGTTTATCATTCATAAAGTAAATATAGATTAATTAACATTACTTAATGTTAATAAATATTTTAATATGTGAGTAAATATAAGTATTTAATATATAAAGTCCATGTATTTTTTGACTCAAACATCTTGTGAAATGTCCCTCCATTTCACATTGACATATAATCCTTAATGAGACTTCCATTGAATTAGAACCTATTTACTTATGTAAATATGTTCTCATTTGTACATCTTGTTTATAACTACTTGCCAGATGAAAGAGAAAACAAAACCTGTTCACATGACATAATACGTATTCAAAGTCTACTAATTCCTTTATATTGGAACAAAGGAAACACATTATAGTGTAAATTGTTAAATTTGAACAGTGGAGCCCTAAAATGTTTGAAGTGGTCAGGATTCCCAGCACCTACCTTAATAATGCATCATAGAGTTTCTTTCCAAATTTTTCCTTCACAGAATGTGCAATGTCCCTGTATAAATTGAAAGATTTATAATTTAAACAGTGTCACAATTTGTAATCTTTTTTTGCTATGGCCATGCTGATGTTTTTGTCAGTGTATTTTTTGAAATTACAGGTCCTTTGGTACAAGCTCTTCTATTGTTTTTCCTGGTTGCCAGTCTAGTTGAATTAAAACCTCCAGAGCTGAGGCAGCAGAACTGCACTGAGCGGCCCACAGAGCTTCACATTTTTTTGCTTCAGGCGAGGGCAGGGAGGGGGTGTGGCTGGAAGTACAGATGTAACAAGATGGGGAAATTCTGTGATAATTGTTGAATCTGGGCTATGGGCATGTAGGGTGTCATTATACTAATCTCTTCGGCATTCATTTTTAAATTTTCACAAGAATTTTTTTTTTTAAGTTCAACCCATTTAAAGATTTCTAGGGCCGCCTGGGTGGCTCGGTTGAGTGTCCAACCTCAGCTCAGGTCATGATATAACAGTGCATGGGTTCAAGCCCTGCATTGGGCTCTGTGCTGACAGCTCAGGGCCTGGAGCCTGCTTCGGATTCTGTGTCTCCCTCTCTGTCTGCCCCTCTTTTGCTCATGCTCTGTTTCTGTCTGTGTCTCAAAAATAAATAAATGTTAAAAAAAAAAGTCTAAAAAAATAGTAAAGATTTCTACAGAGGTTTTATCCTTCCACAGTGGTTCATTCCAAAGCTTTTACAGTAACATAGTCCAATAGGCATTCCATAATCTGACATAATAGCCTAATGAGAAGTGAGTAGCATTTGTGCTATAATAATATTAAGGGGGAAAAAAAAACACAACAGTCCAAAAAGATATATCAGAAATTATGCATGTTAAAAAAAATCTCTACACTTACTGCTTGAGAACATTTATAGGACATGAGATTACCATAGTTGTTTCCGCACTGCCTGGCCTTTCAGGGTTTCCACATTGAAATTGTTTGTCTTGGCAGGCATAATGAAAAACACCACCACTGTGACGTCACTTTTATGCATCTAATGAGGGATTAGGAAACAGAACCAGTCAACTACCACAGATAAAAGAAAACATCAACAGATGGACCTTAAACTTAAAAAAAAAAATAGTATTTTACATTATCTTTAGATAAAAGGAATACTTATTTATGATTGACAGAGAAATTATACCCACTTTCCTGAAGCTGACTCCGAAATATTATTTTATTTGGGCTTTCAGTCAGGATTTACTAACAATTTGAATATTCACACATAAAATATTTTCATTAACCAGCTAAAATATAGAGCAACTGCTATTGATAATTACAGTGCTTTTCTGGGGTTAAAAAAAGTCATAGGAGGGGCACCTGGGTGGCTCAGTTGGTTAAGCGTCCGACTTCAGCTCAGGTCATGATCTCATGCTTGTGCCCTGCACCAGGCTCTGTGCTGACAGCTCAGAGCCTGGAGCCTGTTTCGAATTCTGTGATTCTGTGTCTCCATCTTTCTCTACCCCTCTCCAGCTTGTGCTCTGTCTGTCTCTCTCTCAAAAATAAATAAACATTAAAAAAAAAATCTACAGAAGTCATAGAATAGGAAACTCACTCCAGGAATAGCCACTGTATTAGAGAAGAATAAATGTACTATCTGAAAGAATGCTATCTTTCAATTTCTCCAAGTATTATAATTATCTTTGATGTCTAAAATAGCAATTGGCTTTTTCTTCACACTTAAAAATAAAGTGACTATTAGGAGCACCTGGGGGCCTAGTCGGTTAAGTGTCCCACTCTTGATTTTGGCTGGGGTCATGATCTTGGAGTTCATGACTTCAAGCCCCGCATTGGGCTCTACATTGACAGTGCAGAGCCTGCTTGGGATTCCCTCTCTCTGCCCCTCCCCTGCTTGCACTCTCTCTTTCTCTCTCTCAAAATAAATAAATAAACATTAAACACACACACACACACACACACACACACACACACACACACATTTATGCAGCCACTCTGGAAAATAGTGTGGAGTTTCCTCAAAAAATTAAAAATAGAATTACCCTACGACACAGCAATAGCACTTCTAGGAATTTATCAAAAGGATACAGGAGTGCTGATTTGTAGGGGTACATGTACCCCAATGTTTATAGCAGTGCTATCAATAGCCAAATAATGGAAAGAGCCCAAATTCATCAACTGATGAATGTATAAGGAAGATGTGGCATATATATATATATATATATGTATACACACACACACACACACACACACACACACACACACACAATGGAATACTACTCAGCAGTGAAAAGGAATGAAATCTTGCCATTTGCAACAATGCTGATGGAATTGGAGAGTATTATGCTAAGTGAAATAAGTCAGTCAGAAAAAGATGGATATCATATGTTTTAGTCATATGTGGAATTTGAGAAACTTAACAGAAGACCATAGGGGAAGGGAAGGAAAAATAAGTTACAAACAGAGAGGGAGGCAAACCATAAGAGACTCTTAAATACAGACAATAAACTGAGGGTTGATGGGGGGGGGGGATTGGGGGGGGGCCAGGGAAAACAGATGATAGGTATTGAGAAGGGCCCTTGTTGGGATGAGCAGTGGGTGTTGTATGTAAGTGATGAATCATGGGAATCTATTCCTGAAACCAAGACTACAATGTATACACTGTATGTTAGCTAACCTGACAATAAATTATTAAATATATATATATATTTATTATACACACATATATATGTGTGTGTATATATATATATTTAAAGTGACTGTTAAATGTATAGATAAATTGATTAATAATGTCCCTAAACATGATATATGTTTGATATAGCCTTGACTCCATTTATAAAGCTTGTTGAATAGATACATACTAGGAATATTATGGAATAAGATTATTCCAGCCTATTCTAGAAAAATCCATCTGGTCTTTATTATTGTATTACTTCCTTATTAATGTGGTATCAGGAAATCTTTTAGGATACTTAGTACAATATCTGCTCTAAGGCAAAAACAAATCTATGTGCAAGAAAAAAAATTAACTGGACAGTGGTTCAGAGCTCAGTAAAATTTAGATTGTCTTGGTATCTCAGTAAGATTGAAATTCTACACCCATCACCTATAGCGTACTCTTATTTATTCTATATTTCTACATGATAGAATTAGAATATAAGCCAGTAACTTTCATCACTAGCTTTTACATGATACCATTTTGTATAGCTGCTTCTACTGGCACAAGTTTTATTGCTGGATTAACTGGGAACCTATATCAAGTCTCACCTTCCTGAGCAAAAAAAAAAAAAAAAAAAAAAAAAAAAGATTCCACATTGAAGTGGGAGGCTCCTTCCCCCTCCTTCATGTGTCCCTGTAGTGGGACATCTCCTAGTTTCACAATTCAAGACTCTTAATCTCAGGGGGAGGCATGGCAGATGAGTAGGGAGAGGAAAAGCATTTGTGTGTGTCTGCCCAGTTGTACAGAGAGCAAAGGCTTGGTTGCCAGCTGTGCATGGTACATGTTCCTCTGAAGGCCTTCTTAGGTTGGGGGAAGATGGCAATCGGATGAGATAATGAGTTCTAATAGCAAGTTCAATATTAGGAAGCCTATTGGTGTCATATACCAAGCCACATCTTCCATTAAAGACTTTTTTGGTTTTAAAAATTGCAAATTTTGTTCTGCGTTTGCTTGATTTCCTCACATTTATCTTTCAATCGATTAACTCTTGGGACAGGAGAAGGAATGTTACAATGTCATCTTAAAACATAACACCATAAGCTTGTGGCTCTCTTTAAAAAATATCTGATCAGGTAAATATACAAGTGAACAATGTAGCAATCCCAATAAGCAAATTGAAAGACCAGAGTCATTTTTAGAATAAGGTTGTCATTTTAAGTAATCAAAATCATGTATTCTCTTGAAACCATCCTAAGAAACCAGAAAGTTCTTTACTTCTCACAGAAGGAAGTCCTGTTATAAAAGTAGTACGTGGTGTACCACCTAGGGTGTTCTTACCCTCAGCAGGAAATTTAACCTGGATAAGGCTTCTAGGAAGATGTCAGCTCCTTTGTTTGAAAACTCGTATCTCCCAGCAATGAAAAGGAACAAAGTCTTTTCAAGGTCAAAGTCCAGATGACTAAAACAAAACAAAACAAAACAAAACAGTTTCAAATAAAATAAGACAACGGCAACAAAATGTACAAATGAATTCTGTTAAAATTTAATGGGACTGAGAAAGGTAAACATTTACTGTAACAATCTTGTTTTCTCTATGTCATAGGTCCCTAAAACATGTGCTATTTTTTAAAAAAATTTTTAAATGTTCATTTATTTTTGAGAGAGAGACAGAGGGTGAGTGGGGAGGGGCAGAGAGAGAGAGATAGTGAAACAAGAATCTGAAGCAGGCTCCAGGCTCCATACTGTCAGCACAGAGCCTGACACAGGGCTCGAATCCATCCATGACCTGAGCCGAAGTCAGACACCCAACTGACTGAGCCACCCAGGTGCCCCCGTGCTTTTTTTTTTTTTTAAATAAAGAAAAGCATACCCATAGAAATGACCTCGAACAAAATCTTGGATCCTGGCCTTGTACGTGGCATGTAGATTTTGAAACTCATGTACTGCTGAAAATTTCTTAACACTCAAGCCATTTGGAGTAACTACATCTGGAAAAGCAAACATAAGATCACCATAAATATCTTCTCTTGGGAGGGGTACCATTGTAGAAAAATAGTGTGCTTAAATATATAAAATTAGATGTCTATTAACATTTCTAGTTTCTAGCATAGAACTAAAAATTCGTAACACTTCACAATAAATTGTTGACATAGGAAATCAGGAGTGTGTGACCAAAATAATATTAACTAGTACAATGAAACATCTAATTAAAAGCACCAATAATGATTAGTATAATTTTCCTTTATTGATTGCTTACTATACACCAGGCACTATTCTAAACACTTTAAAATGTAATTCATTTAATCCTTGCAAAAACCAATGGAGTAGGTGTTCTTATCTGCATTTTCAGAGACAGAAACAGAGGCACAGAGTTGTTAAGGAACCTGTCTGAGAACACAAGTGTCAGTAGGAGTAGAATCCATGCATTATGCCTCCACGTGTTGTGTCTTAATCATTTTGTACACTGAACTACCTCTTAGCAACTTATTTTGACCGACTATGTGGGAAATGTTCTCTCCACTTGGAAAACTGGAAAGGCAAGCCTTTATTTCTAATTCCCAGAAGATTTTACTCAAGCAGGAAGACATTTTTGTTTTCCAGAATACTAGTCTGTGACAAGAAAGATAGAGACTACTCAGAGTAAAAAATTAGAGCTACCTACTGACTTGAATACATGGGTTGTTGCATTTAGTAGCAGTAAAAACAAATGAGATAAAAAAAAAAGCTATGTCAAAAAAATTTAACATATGGCATTGGAGATTTTTGCTAGGTTTGAGATTTGAGTTAAAATTATAAATACGCCATTATTTTTGAAGGATATTTTACAGTTAACAAACTACCTTAAGTTTTTTTTTAATGTTTGTTTATTTTTGAGAGAGAGAAAGAGAGAGAGACAAAAAGTGTGAGTGGGGGCAGAGCAGAGAGAGAGAGGGAAACACAGAATCTGAAGCAGGCTCCAGGCTCTGACCTGTCAGCACAGAGTCTGATGCAGGGCTCAAACCGCTGGAACCGCAAGATCGTGACCTGAGCCGAAGTCAGATGCTTAACCCACCGAGCCACCCAGGGGCCCCAACAAACTCCCTTTTGAAATGGTTCCACAAAATCAACTCAGGCTTCTTGGTCATTTCTCATATAAACAACTCATGGTTCTTATGAGTTTTTACTAAGTAATTGGGCAAATGCTATACTCCTTTGCATACCTCCCCACAGCAGAGTGGATTTTAGGTTGCCAAAGTTTTTAGTAAAAGCCCTCCTGAATAATTCCTAGATGAAATGTATAGTGTGATCTGGATAGTAGACAATCCTCCCTTATAATGTATTTATCTTTCCATAACATTATGTAGTGCTTACCTTGTGCTAGACTCTAGTATATTTGATAAATATTAATTTAATTTTTGTCAAGCCACAAGAAGTATAAGTTATTTTGCTATCCCCATTTTACAGATGAAGAAACTGGCCTGTTGAGAGGTTACATTATTTGGCCAAGTAACTACAAAGTAAAAGAGGTAGGATTTAAAAACAAGGCAGCCTGGCTCTGAGATCTATGCCTTTATCTACTGTGGTGGTCAGCTGTATTGTCCAAAAAGATATAGAAGCCCAAAATGTATGTGAATATCTCCTTATTATGACTTTATTTCCTCTGGAATTTTTTTTTCATTGTTTCACAAACAAAGCTATATAAGGATGAGATTGTGCAGATAGGATAGTAGCTTTAAGAGAAAGTTTTATTTTAAAACAGGAAAAAAAAACCCACAAGTATTTTTGTAAGCTCAGAAAAAGATACTGTATGCAAGAAACCGGAAATATGCAAGAAAGAAATAGCATGGTGATGGAGTACGTTTCTGTAAGGGACATGACAGTGATAATCCAACTGAATGCTGGAGAATACTTGGAAAGACAAAAGAGGAATAGGCTCTTTATTCTGCCATGATTCAAATTTCTTGGATTCTTTTTTTTTTTTAAATTATCTGGCACCTTGAAATACTTCCTCTAGACATTCAACAACCTATATTTGGAAGAAAAACAACCAGAGACAAGATCACAGGGATTAAAGAAAGAGGATATATTAATTAGGACTGTTTGGTCGCAAGTAACAGACCCAGTGCTAACACTGTGTGAATAGGTCCTAACCCTGGTTTATCTATAATAATGAGGAATTTATTCACAGGATGCTAGTGTCTCATGGCAAGGGTTTCTCTGGGCTTCAGGAATTGGTTTAAACCATTAGTTTAAATCACTGTGGAGAATCTAGAGTCTGTTTCTGCTTTTCATTGTACTCCACTGTAGGTTAGTCTTCTTTGCATCCCATACAACATAGAAGAAAAATGGGCACTGCCAACAGCTTCAAAGCTGACATTTCTTTTTTTTTTTTTAATGTTTATTTATTTTATTTTGAGGCAGAGAGATGGAGTGGGGGAGGGGCAGAGAAAGAGGGAGAGAGTGAATCCCAAGCAGGCTCTGTGCTGACAGTGGGTCTCCATCTCACCAACTGTGAGATCATGACCTGAGCCAAAATCAAGAGTTGGGCGCTCAACCAACTGAGCCCCCAGATGCCCCTCAAAGCTGACATTTCTGTTATACAAGAGTGCATTCATACAGACTCACCTGTTTAGACTCCCTCCTGTGGGAGTATTCTGATTGGCCTGGTTTATGGTGGGTATCTACCTCTGGACCAATCTGCTGTGGCCAGGTGATACAGTCAAATTTTTTTAAAGTTTATTTATTTATTTTGAGAAAGAGGGAGAGAGAGCACAACCAGGGGAGGGATAGAGAGAGAGAGGGAGAGAGAGACTCCCAAGCAAGCTCCAAACTGTCAGCTCAGAGAGGGGCTTGATCTCACAACCATGAGATCATGACCTAAGTCAAAAGCAATAGTTGGACACTTAACCTACTGAGCCACCCAAGCACCTAGAGTTATGTTTTATGAACATGCCTCTTGGCATTGCAACCTCTGGATGGATCTGGAGATAGTTCCCAGAAAAGCTTTCAAGGTCTTGGGAGAAGTAAAACAGTATGTTTCTACTAAACAGGACTGATGGGGCAATGTCATAAGATGTAGGACTGACGTAATCTCACACAAATTTCTGATATTTTCTGAACTTTTATTTCCTTAAAATAAAAAAGTTAACTTGCTTACACCCACCAAGTAACTGTGACAACCCTAGGACATAGGCCTATTTCAAGCATAGCTCATTCATTCAACAAGCACAGATCGAACACTACTATGTTGTAGATATAGCTTAGTGTTCATTTTATTACAAAGCTACTGAAATTGAGAATTAAAATATGTGTAAAGATCTGGGTGGTAATAGTGAATCCAATTTTTCCTCTATTATTTTATGGATTTTTCTTTGTTTTAAACAAAATTTTTATACTTCAATGTCATTTAGGACTGAAAGATTTTTGACAAACTCAGAGATAATAATTACCAGGCTTTCTCTTCAGCATATGTTCTGCCTCTATTGCTGTTATTTCAGATACTGTGGTGAACACATGAGCACAATGGACAGAGGCTCGCTCCATGCAATACCGGTGGTAAATCTGCCTTTCCCCAGCCTCTTTGTCTATGTCAAACTGTTTAAAAGAAAAAAAGAAGGAAAAAGCAAAAACACAAACACATTTTCTCATACTACTGACGCTTGAAAAGCATGGAGGTTAGTGGCATTGACCCCCTGTGTAGTCAGAAATCTGCAATTAACTTTTGACTCCCCCCATACTTAACTACTAGTAGACTACTGTTGACCAGAAGCCTTACCAATGACAAAAACAGTTGATTAACACATATTTGTATATGTGTTACATACTGTATTTTTACAATATAATAAGCTAGAGAAAAGAAAATGCTGTTAAGAATATCATAAGGAAGAGAAAATACATTTATAGTACTGTACTTATTGGAAAAATCTGTGCATGAGTGAACCTGTGCAGTTCAGACCTGTATTGTTCAAGGATCAGCTGTACGATCCATTTACACAAGGAAAACAAAATCACATATATTCATACTGTTTTTCTTCAAGACTGTGTAAAATTTTATGACCAGAAAAAAGTAGTAACTTTTTATTAAACCTATTACTAAAATGTATACCCACTCATGCTTTATTTATTTATTTATTTTATTAAAAAAATTTTTAGCGTTTATTTTTGAGAGACAGAGCATGAGCGAGAGAGGGGCAGAGAGAGAGAGGGAGAGACTGAATCCCAAGTAGGCTCCAGGCTCTGAGCTGTCAGCACAGAGCTGACGTGGGGCTCAAACCCATGGACAGCAAGATCATAACCTGAGCCAAAGTCCGAGGCTTAGCCCACTTAGCCACCCAGGCACCCCCAGCCACTCATGCTTTAAAAAGTACTGTTCAGGGGCACCTGGGTGGCTTAGTTGGTTAAGCGCCTGACTCTTGATTTCAGCTCAGGTCTTGATCTCACGGTTCCTGAGATGAAACCCTGCATCAGGCTCTGTACAGACAGCACAGAGCCTGCTTGGAATTCTTTCTGTCCCTCTCTCTCTGCCCCTCCCACCGCCCTCTTTCAAAATATAAATAAATAAACATTTTAAAAGTATTGTTCAGGGGCGCCTGGGTGGGGCAGTCGGTTAAGCGTCCGACTTCAGCCAGGTCACGATCTCGCGGTCCGTGAGTTCGAGCCCCGCGTCGGGCTCTGGGCTGATGGCTCAGAGCCTGGAGCCTGTTTCCGATTCTGTGTCTCCCTCTCTCTCTGCCCCTCCCCCGTTCATGCTCTGTCTCTCTCTGTCCCAAAAATAAATAAACGTTGGGAAAAAAAATTTAAAAGTATTGTTCATTTCTGCTTCTAAACTGCTGTTTAATCCTCACGTGAATATTTCTACTTTGCTGTAATTACTTAGAATTCTTAATTTTTGATACCTTAATTATATTAACTTACCTTACATTTTATAAACATTGAGCTAATTACTTTCCCCAAGGACCTTATCATATTTTCCCCATAAGCAAAGAAACAAAGCCGACAGTAAAGTCGATACTGAAAATAAGGATAATTATTATCACCCTTAATTCACTGAAAAGCTTTCTGACAAAGAGAAAAGACAAATGATTTTCCAGGGTTATATAATTCCTACCACTGTATAATTTCAAGAGGGGTATGGTTACTTTAACTGGATGGTGTGTTAAATTGTGCAATCATCCTTTATTCTGGGTATCTTAACTTTAAAAAAAAAAAAACAAAACAACTTTAAAAACCAACAAGCCAAACACCAAACAATTGATTAAATAGTTGGCAACGGTTATGGGCTTTTGCCATTTTGCTTAGCTGCTGAATATTATATCTCACATAGCTGCAGATGAAACTAGCTGTGTTTGGGGCGCCTGGGTGGCGCAGTCCGTTAAGCGTCCGACTTCAGCCAGGTCACGATCTCGCGGTCTGTGAGTTCGAGCCCCGCGTCAGGCTCTGGGCTGATGACTCAGAGCCTGGAGCCTGTTTCCGATTCTGTGTCTCCCTCTCTCTCTGCCCCTCCCCCGTTCATGCTCTGTCTCTCTCTGTCCCAAAAATAAATAAACGTTGAAAAAAAAAATTAAAAAAAAAAAAAGAAACTAGCTGTGTTTAAGAGAGAAAAGTGTATCAAGTTTCTGGTATTATATTAGCAGGGTGTTTTTCATAATAAAGAGTATTAGAAGCTCAACAGTACTCATCAAGCTCTCTTCTAAGCATGATGTCATATTTAATCCTCATAAACCACTAAGGCTTGTATTGTGTCTTCATTTTGTGAAGGGGAAACTTGAAGCTTGTAGAGGTTAGGAAATCTGCCCAAGACCACATTCCTATTAAGTGTCTTAGCAGAGCCCTAAACTGATCCTTAATCAGTCTGACTCCAAGATTGTGCTACCTCCTGTTTTAGAACATTTAGACTCCAGCTCGACCAAGTCAGTCCCAGTAACTACTGTCCCATATAGAGGAAAATACCGAAAAAGACTAAGTAGATGATTCTAAAGACTACAACAAAGAAAGTCTTAGAGGATTCTTTCTTGTCTGTAATGTTTGCAACTATTTATCTGAAAATGTTTGAATCAGGGCTCTATATGGCATCCTTGGATCAGCTGAAGTTTTCCCAAAGGCTTATATGTCTGGTCTCATTTATTCAATCAAATCTGTCATTCAATCAATATTTGTTGAGTAATTTATTGTTTCTGTGGCCCTCAAAGAACTTATAAATTAGTGAGAAAACAGGTTAAAATTAAGCAGAAATAGGTAAGTGCCTGAGGAAGGCATAGGGTCAGAGTGAGACTGATTTACAGAGTGGGACTGAGAATAGTGAAACATAGCTCATACTATGCAAGTGTTTATATTGTCAGTATCACTTCCAGAATGTAAGATTTTCAAGGGCAAGGACCATGATTTATTAATCTTTGTACCTCCAAGTTGTATTGTTCAAGGATCAGATGTATGTGAATAAAACGGCATTTGAACTGGGATATGAAACTTTAATTTGGGGAAAGGTTATTTTGGATTGAAAAATTAACTGCCCTAAAGAACAAGTACATAAAGTCAAATAGGGTTCCTGGGTGGCTCACTCGGTTAAGCATCTGACTCTTGATTTCAGCTCAGGTCCTGATCTCATGCTTCATGGGATCGAGCCCCATGTCAGGCTCTGCCCCTCCCCTGCTCACTCTCTCTCTCTTTCTCTCAAAACAAATGAATAACTATTTTTTAAGTAAAAAAACATAAAGCCAAATAGCATGTGCAGAAAAATAGCATCTGATGTGACCGTAGCAGAGAGTATAGAATGTAGGAGACATAGTAAGACAATAGACAAGGCTAGAAAGTTAGCCTTTGTCCTGTATACAGTGGAAAGCACTAAAAGGGCTCATTTAAACATATGATAAAGACGGTCTATGCTTAGAAAAAATAACTCTGGAAAAAGTATGAAATGTTTTCTGTTACTGAGCTTTTGTGAAGATTAAATGAGATAACACATAACAGATGTTTAGAAAAGCGCCTGGCACGTGGAAAGTGCTCAATAACTTTACCTATAATCATCATCATTATTGTTGTTTCTGTTGGTATTGTAGAAAGTAATAAGATTTCATATATGGGGAAGGGTTTACCATCTGGACTTTTAGAGATAAGAAGATAGGATGTCTAGATGAGCACACCAAGTACGCAGATATACAAAGGGAGAATAGTAGAGGCCTTGTGATCCCGTGAAAGGTCTCCACGAAGACAGGCATGTGCCTTTTCCTGGTCCTGTGGGGTCTATTACCTTCCAGGCCTGCAGTATGCTTGCCACATCTGTGGTTTACAGCAACTCTAGGTGTTTATACATATTGTCCACTTTTCCGCATGTTTATGATAGCCTGTTAAAATCTCTGTCTGGTAATTCCAACATCTAGGACATATCTGGCACTGGATATTTTGACCATGGATCTTACTTTCCTACATTTTTGTATATCTCATTACTTTTTCCTGAATTCAGGAAAATGTGTAAAAAAGAACAAAAAGTGAGGCAAAGCATAGATAAGTTAGCAAAGCACAGTCTAGTGACAGAGGATGATAATCCTGTGATTGAAGGTGATGAGCTCAAAACTTGGTCAGATGGAAGAGCTAAAATCCATCAAGCAATTGTCTATGGTTTCTTTCACTGTCTGTTCATTTCCATCCAGACAACACTGTCCTTACATTTCCACCCAGGAAATCCTGATATCATCAAAAAAGAGAGTCCAAAGCATAAGAAAATTAATGGCCTTTTTTTTAAGCAGTAGTTATGTAGCCATTATAATTGAGGGGAAAATCAATCAATGGCTAGACCAATAAAAATGAATTTGGAAATATCTTCTTGGAGAGTCTCAGAAGACTGATATGCTGGCTGAAAATGGTTGAAATGCTATTTTAGTTAACAGAGTTAACTAAAAACTTAAAGCGACATCAAAGTCCTTTTGAACTGGCTATTAACTAAACATTTTCAGTGAGCAATTAAAATTTAAATGAAATAGTTCTACTCCTTCTGTTTTTAAATTAATTTTAATTTTTATTTTTGAGAGAGTGCAAGCAGGAGAGAGGCAGGGAGGGGTGGGGGCAGAGGATCTGAATCAGGCTCTGTGCTGATAGCAGCAAGCCTGATACAGGGCTTGAACTCATGAACTGTGAGATCATGACCTGAACTGAAGTCGGTGGCTCAACTGACTGAGCCCCCCAGGTGCTCCTACTCTTTCTGTTTTTATAACAGTTGGGTACTATTATTCTTGTTCCCATTTCTCCCCCATATTTATTTGCCAGATTCAGAGCTTACCTGATTCTGGGTCTTGCATCAAAGACTAAATTATGACTCATCTCTTATGTTGAACTTTTAAAAAATTTTCATGTATACAATTTGTTGTTATTATGCAACATCCAAATTCTGAACCTATTGTGAGCATGAGGTGGGGGGATCTGCTGTAGAAGATGATTATGGGGGCTTTTTCTGTGAAAAATGATTAGGAGTTTAACTCAAAATCTAGTTCCTAACTACTTATGATCTATACTCACACTGCTGGGAAGGATATTTTACTAGAAAGACAGGCTGGGGCTGACTAAGCTCACATATTTCAACCAGTGAAGAGCTTTAAGCTGGTGAGATATATCCTATTTGAAAAAAGTATGATATAAAAGGATATTTTATTAAGAGGATAAATTGAATTATGTAACTATATACTGTAATCATTTTTTTACTTAAAAGCAACTAATAATATCCAATGAATTTATTAGTTGTTTTTATTAATTGTTACTATATAATGGTCTTAAGTATACTGAAGTAAAATACTTGATATGCTTCTCCAATATTTTCTCTTTCACAAAAACCAAAGTCTGCTCTTTTCTGGGAAATAAGGTTTCTGAGCTTATCACAGATCACTGGTTTGCCCTTATCAGTCTACCATTAGTACATACCATCAGGAAATTTCCCTGATCTGACTTTATTTTGAATGTACATCTTATGTTTACAATCTGACCTTTAGATTAGTCTGACCTTTTTATAGAAAAACTCTCATTAAGACCACAAATTGATTTTCAAATGTTAAAGGTTGTCAGAAAGAACTTTCCTGCACTCAGAGGTCTTTGGGATAGTAGGACAGCTTACCACTACTGTTATCTAAGTGTTCATGTATTACAAACTCTCTCTCTCCCCCTCTCTCTCTCTCACACACATACACACCACTCACACATGCACATATTATTTCCACAGAATCCTAGGACTTTTTTTAAACTGGGGAAGTGTTTAGAAATCAACTTTCCAACTTCCTAATTTTTCTGACAGTAAATAGGACCCTAAAATGCTAAGTTGATTTCATTGGCAATATAGATACCAAATTTGTAAAAGCCTGACTTTGTGGTACTCAGATACTTTGTTGATATTATTGACATGATAATATAAAAGATATATTTTTATTAATCTGATTTAACTGACAGAAAACAAAAGAAAAAAGTCAAGACTGAATGACTTTGGTCCTCTTTAGAGTTGGGCAATCCACTAGGATAAGGAAACCGAACTGTTTGATCACCAAGGATCCACATCCCTGTTCTAAATAACCTGTCTTACTTGACCCTCCCACAAAACTCCACCTACACATTGCAGAGTTACAGGAGAAAGCTGACCATTTATTCATTCAAAGGAGAGAGGAAGACCCATAGTGCAAGCTGTATGCCTAGAACCCTTGGTTTGTAGCTGCCACTCAGAGCTCGTGTGGATCTAGCATTCTCACCATGTTTCTCCAGCCTCAGGGTAGACAGGAGTCCAACCCACCTACGCCCACCATGCCTCCTGGGATCTTGGGTCTGTCGCTCCAAAGTAGGTAGACATCGGCCTGTCACCACAACACTCTACTGCACTCTGAACAAAGTTAAACTCAATCGGCTGTCACCTCAGGGGAGGCTTTGTCATGAATATTGATTAGTTAAAAGGGCATTTCTGCCATCTGGCTGGCAGATGAAATGTAAAGATCAATACTTCTCATCTTTCAGTTTCAAGGATCAGAAAGAAAGGTGGTGAGGGAGGAAGGAGGAAGGACTTTTTACCTTATCAAGATGGTTGTAGAAATCAATGTTTGCTGCACAGAGATACCTGCCAAGCAGTGTGGCATGAGTGGTAAATATTGTAGCGATAGGAAGCTTCCGAGCTCGAGAAAGGATCAGTCCAGTTCCTGCCTGCCATTCGTGGAATTGGGCAATGACATGTTTCCCATCTGCATGATCCGTCACCTACATCAGAGAAGAAGCATTTAAAACAGTTGGTAAAGCCTGACCTTGCCCATGACCCACAGCATAAGGAAAGTTATCATACCTGTTAATTTTAGCAAAATTTAAAGAGAGTTAAACATGATGTGTACAGATTTAGCAAGCAGAATTGTTTTATAGGGTTTAGCTTCATGTTCATAAAACCCATGTATTTTTATGGTCTAATCCTTCCTTGCAGTAATGGATCAGATTTATTTTTTGTATCTACAGAGGGGCCTCATAGAACAAATGCACAGGAGGCACTCAATAAATATTCATTGAATGAATGAATGAATAATAGCAATAATATTCTTGAAGATCTCGCTGAGCAGCTGAATCAGTTGGGACTACCCTCTTACAAGGTTCTTTTGAAACAAACAATAAATGACTTCATGTTTTAACTCCATCTTATTTGGATTTTCTGTTATTTGCACCCAAAAGCATTTTAACTGACATATTATTTTAAGAATATGGAACTGGGCAGAAGGGGACTAATAACTTGTTTAGAAGCAAATCCTAATTTAGTAAAACCCTGAGAACATAGGTCTAATCCCGGTCTAGATCTAAAACTAGGGAGGTGTCAGTTTCTTTGCCTTAAACTTACCTTGTTTCACCCTTTACATTCTACTTTTAATATTTACATCCCACTGCCATTATGACTGCCTATTTCCTCAATGAGGGAGTAGAATTGATAACGCAAAACATGTGCATTCAAGAAAACTGAGCAGAGAATTGGGAAGCCGAAAGTTTACCCAAGGAGGCAGTTCTCATATTTAGAGAACATCAGCATCACCTGGAAGGCTGGTTAATCATGGATATCTGGGTCCCATCGCCAGATAATCTGATTCAATAATTCTGGGCTGGAGGCAAGAGCTCTCATGTCTTACATGTTTGCAGGTGATGCTGCTGGTGGCCCATGGAAATACTCTTTGAGAACCACTGACTTAGGCTAGGACCTTTGTATTTCAGAGTACCTGCTCTTCAAAATCTCCTCACAGTTATTAGCAGTTGCACAGATTGGTAGCATCCAAGAGGTGACTGCAGAAACAGGGCTTGCCCAGCAGCCTGGGATTTTTGTCAATGTCTTTATTTACCCTTTGAATCAAAGAAAATTTCTGTTTCTGAAACGGCTTTATTTTAGAGAATATTGGGGCTTTATTTTCTTGCTTCTCTCCTCTCCAGTTCTCTTTAACAGAAAGGAAGAGGGCAGACACACACACACACACACACACACGGAAGCTGACCTCAGTCCTGGGGGGCAGTGGCTCAGGGAGGCAGTTTTCAGAGGAAGAGTTGGTTCCACCAACTGATGATAACACAAAACTGCTTACTGTCATTAAGCCAGATCTTGTCAGTACCCTCACCCTGTTCTCCTAATTCTGTCACCAACACAAGCAATGGGACTGTCCCTTCACCTTCCCCTTAACTTCAAAGCAACCTTTTTGTGGCTATTGGAATATGACTTCATCGGTAAGAAAGACTGGTCAAGGGGACACACTGCCAAGCATGCAGTTCTGTGATTTGTCCTTAGACTACACCCCCCCTTTGCTAGGATGTTCTTCCTTCACCATCTGATTTTTAAGTTAGGCATAATCATTTTGAGTTAAGGCAAGGAATGCAAAAAAAAATCCTCCTGCCATGCTTTGAGAACTTAAGAAAGTGCAGGCTTGGCTTGTTTCACAGGAATTGATTTCTAAGGCTCTTGGTTTTTTATTTTTTAATTTTTTTTCATTTTGGGGATATTGCACTACTGTGGACTCCTTAGCACCTGCTGAGATCACTTCAGCCCTTAGAAAATGATGAAAATATCTAAAAGCCACTGCAACTGCACAAGTACTCGTGCATAAACAAAACCAAATATTTCAAGCTACTTTCTACTCCCATAAGTCTAGAATTCATGTACATAGTGCATGATCATCAACCATCCCAAAGGCTAGTATCTAGTTAGAGGAAAGCTAACATTTTCTCAGATTCTTTTGAAATGTATTAGGACAATCATGATGGCATCATTGCATTTAGCTTAATCTCAAAATCATGGGATCATTGCTGGGCACAGACCACAATCATGTTCCTCCTCTGTTGTATGACTATATGATAAACTATACCTCTTTTAAGAACCAGGCGGTTAAAGATCCGAATATTAGCATATCGTTGGCTTCTCGGTCATGATAAGGGATGCCGACACTGCATGCTTCCCAGAGATCTCCCTTCCACCTGTCCAGGTTCCAAGCCGAAGAGCCTATGTCAAATAGCACCACGTAAGGACTCCCTTCTATCAGCCACCTTCCAAAGTACACCTGCCATATAAGGAACACATGGGCTTGCAGTAATAACAGGCAATGCAAGGGAGAAAAAGGTATTTATGCTTAGAGTATGTACACTTTATTTACAACTCAACAGCAGATGATCCAAGCTGTATAGGAAGCTGTAGTGGTGACCCAAAGCATCTGATATTTGAGCCTGAAGATGGAATGGGCTTGCATCCATTCATCTAGAACCTCCAAGTTCTTGCTCTTCGTTAAATGTGGTCATTTAAAAACCAAGTATCTAGATCATGTGATCTTTGTCCATCTGTTTCTGATTACCCTCCTGTGACCTTGAGTTCATGGTTTTAGGATTTAATATCATGGTCTATGTTTTTATGATAGAGTCATAAGAGAAACTGGTCTGTATCTTTAACTTGTAGTGGGATATAGTGTCTATGGTATCACTTATTTCCCTATATGCAACAGGACTTGTAATAATAGGTCATGCTAGAAAAATGTGTTTCTGTGGACAAATGTATACGATTTCTTTCATTCCTTCTATCAAAAAAAAAAAAAAAAAAAAAAAAAGAGGTGACACAAAGTGTTTCCCAATAGGTTGCTGCCAGATGTCTTAACTAAATATATTGCCCAAGATACTTTATCTCTTTAATCTAGCAGCTCAAAGTCTAATCCTATTACATTCTTCAAATTGAAGTCCTTTATTCCTATTTTATTTTGTGCAAGTTTTAATGTATTAGCTCTCATTTTTTTTCCAATTGTAATTATATAATCACTGTATATGTAAGTTTTAACTTTCTTTTTGGCCTCTATTTTTTCCACAGTAATTTACACATTCTTTTGTCCTGAGTTTTATTTTATGTTTATTCTCCTATTTCATGGTATGTAACTCCATACATCACTTCAAGCGCTTCTTGGAAATTGGTGAAAACTAAGAGCCTCTCATTGGGTAAACTGAATGTGTCCACATGTTTAAATATTGACCCTTGTGACTCCACCCAACGCTGAATTTGGAGAGCTTGAAAGCCCATTTGATCATCATTCTGTTGCACAGGACTCAGGAATGCATGGTGATTTCTCTCCCATCTAGCCTTGGACAACTGTGAAAGACCCCCCCATTATCTGTCGGTTGCTCCCATTGTGATTAGCAGTTATCATGGCATTCCTCCCTTTTCAGACTGAGTTTTCCTGAGCCCCAAACAACTTTTGAATACTTTTCTCTTTGGCACATTCATTGATTTATGTATTCATTCAATGACTAGTGCCTAATATGTGACATATGATACAGTGAGCTAGGGTCATAGAGAAGTGTTGATACTAGAGAATGTAAGCTAGCTTGTATTGGCTTCCAGTGACTTCTTGGCTATAACAGAAACATCCGTACATCAGAAATACATTTAGAACCTTGAGATCAATCAGTCCATTATGCTTTTCATCTCCCTCTTCTTTCACAAGAGCTTTAAATGCAAGCCCCTTCCAGAGTCTAGGTGTTTCCTTTTGGCATATAAATATGATCAGGTCTCACATTTAATAAAACACTAATTCTCAAAACAATGCCATTTGCAAACTACTTAATTATCCTTTTTTCTCATAGAAAACTCTCATTGACACAGCTTCTGTGTCCTCCCAATTCAGTCATTCCTCAACCCACTGCAATCTGCTTTAACCCTCTTCTCTCCTGAAGCTATATTTCACAAGATTACCATGAAAGACCTGAATGTTGCCAAACCCAATTTACCCTGGTTTAATCTTTCATTGACTTAATCCCTTCTTCATACTTGAAACTTACTCCTCACTTGTTTTGACCTATTCTGTTATGATAGCAACAGATTACCATAAACCTAGTGGCTTAAAACAACACAAATTTATGACCTTACATGTTTGGGAGTCAGTAATCTGAAACAGGTCTTGTGAGTTAAAATCCACACATTGGCAGAGTCGCAGTCAATCTGTAGTCTCTAGGGGAGTCTGTTTTCTGGCCTTTTCCAGCATCTAGAGGCTACTGCATCCCTTGGCATGTGGCCTTTTCCTCCATCTTCAAAACTTATTAGGCCAACCTCTCCTTCCACTGGCACATCTTCATTCTGATTCTGACTCTACTGACTCTCTTTTAAAAGGACCCCTGTGATTACATTGGGCCCACCTCAATAATCCAAGGTAATCTCCCCACCTCGGGCCCCAAATATACAAAATCCTTTTGCTACATAAGGTAACATATTTTCAGGTTCTGAGGATTAGGACTTGTACATCCTTGTTTCTGTATCACTAGCTGTGTTTCTACTTTTACAATCTCTGAGTTGTGGGGTTTTTTTTGTTTTGTTTTTTAATATAGATGTTCTAACATGTTGACACTCCCCTCAAGGCTCAAAACATCTGCTTTTAGTCTATAAACTTCTACTGAATAATATTATCAACAGCCATAATGTGAACTACAATTTAAACACAAATAACTTTCTCCCAAACATCTCTATCCTATACTTTTTGTTGAGCTCCAAATCTATAACCCTACTGGACATTTCTTGATGGTTTTCACAAAGTGCCTCAAATGTAACCTATTTACACTTAAATTGATCATCTTTCTCACAAACCCAGTCCTTTTCCCTAAGGAGATAGTCTTCTCTTGTGAGGTCATGTGAATGGTGGTTTGTTCTCGCATAACAGTTACTAGGTCTTGCTGGGTGAAGTGTCAGTCGGTGTCCCTTACCTGGCAGCCATGTTTATTCATTGTATCCACTGCTCTTCTGATAGGATCATTTATAGGTTCACACCGTTCCACCTGAGTCTTCATATTATGCTCAAAATAGGGGCCAATCAGAAAATAATTGTCTCCCCATTCATCTGCTGTGGTTTTGGCCTTCGTCTGAATCACAGTATAGATGCCACCAACTGTTGAAAAGGAACGGTTCTGTTTATCATTCAGGTTAGTATTTCATTTTAAGTGATGAAGGCATGGAAATGAGTCCTTGTTTTTAAGTTAGCATTTAGGATTTATCAAGCACAAGAGTTTATTTAACTTTCTAAAAGAAAGTTTTATTTATTTATTTAAAAATATAATTTATTGTCAAATTGGATTCCATACAACACTCAGTGCTCATCCCAACAAGTGCCCTCCTCCATGCCCATCACCCACTTTCCCCTCTCCCCCCATGCCCCATCAACCCTCAGTTTATTCTCAGTCCTTGAGTCTCATGGTTTGGCTCCCTCCCTCTCTGTAACTTTTTTTTCCCCCTTAAAAGAAAATTTTTAAAGGACACCAACAAATAGTTACTATTTGGTTCAATTCAATGCATATTTTAAAGCCTTGTCTGGGTGCATGTCAGAGAGCAGCAGGTTGGCAGCAGCAGAGAATTACAAACATTTGAAGGAAATCTGAGGAGATGATTGGAATAGAGCAGTATGTAGCCTAAAGCTCTATCCACACTGAAGGGTCAAAGTTGGTTCCCATAGCCATTGTCACGACACACACCCTCAGCAACAGTTTTCACCTTTTACTCTTGCAGTGGTCCAAGAGGCCAGAGTATGTCCATGTAACAGCCATTGCTGAAATGATGACCATGTCTGTCAAGATAAAGAACCACTTACCTTCAAAAGTAACCAGCAAGGTACCTTTTGGTAAGAGAAAAGAGCTGATAGATTTTGAGGTGGGATGCTTGGCCCAAACCTCATGTCGAACCCAATGACACAAATTTTCACATGGTATTTCATTTTTCCCCTCTGGCACTGATGTCATGACTACTAAGACACAGGGCCAAAAAAATATGTACACTCTTGGGAAATATGCACACTCTTGGATCCAGCATGTCTACATTGTTCTGGGAAATAAGAAGAGTGCCAAATGATGTCTATTAAGATATTTATTGAAGCATTACTGTGGCAAAAAAATTGGCAACAACTTAAATTGAACTAGTTAATTCAACTTGTCTAAGGCTCAATTAGCTCTTCTGTTCAGTGGGGATAAAATATTACTTAGCTTGGGGGCAGAAGGCAGGTTGTAGCAGAAGTATCCCAAACTAGGGCTCATTTGAGTAAATACTGAAAAGGGTGAAGAAATTAGGCAAGCAGCTATCATGGGGAAGAACTTTTTAAGCAAAGAGAAGAGTTACACCCAAGGCCCTAAGTTGACAGCACAGCGTGCAAGGGGAGAGTAACAGGATGCAAAAGGAAAGGTTTGAGAGGCAGGTAGGTAGGAGGAATAGGGAAGACCAAGGGGAAGACGACCTTCATAAACTCAGGCAGGATATCTGGTGCTGGCTCTAAGCAATCATGTTGTATGAGAATATGAAAACAGTCTGAACCAACTTCTTGAATAATTCTTTGTCCATGAGCTATAGGTGAGGAAACAACTCAAGAAATGCCGTGAGAAATCACAAAGCTAACACAGATCCTGGCACCAATCTTCAGCTCTATTTCCTGGAGCAATTTTATTACTTGTATATTAAAAAGAGAGATTCCTATTTTTCATCTCAGGTTTTCATAAGTTATTTCAATTCATCAGGATAGAGCGTTCGATAGCAATTGCATCTCTTAAATTGTCTTGGTAATTTAGGCTTTAAATAATAAATCTTACCAGTAGTCACAATCTATGGCCAAAAGGTAGAATTACCATCTGCAAATTTTTCTTTACACCTGAATCTCAAAATACACTTTTGGTTAAATTATTTTTAAGAGGTGAGACACATAATGCAAATGTTCGTACTACTATATGAGACCAACAGGATTCATTAATTCACAAAAGAGAAGAGTTAATATAATTTCCCAAATGTAAATATTATATGCAAGTAATTTTCATATGAGTCTACATAAACTTATTGTCTTTAAGAACTTCATCTCTAAGAAAAGACTTTATGACTATAGAAAATTTAGAGAAATTTGAAACTAACTTGAACAGAGAATGGTAAGGACATTATCAATCACATTTCAGATGTCAGGTGATGAGAATAGCATGGAACACATGAAGACAACCTGTAAACCTTGCCATCAGAGACTTCTAGACTGGACCAGGACCAACGGGATTCACTTGCCATCAACAATGAATCTGAGATGACATACATTGAGGCCAGCACCAAATATGCCTAAATATTTCTCCAAATTCCAGAAAATTTTATGAACTGTTAAAACCATTTCTTGAGGAAAACAAATTTAGAGAAATAATTTGCAAGAGTAGCTAAAACTTTTTTCTTTAAAGAGTCACATCGTAGCAACGTACTTATATATAAGCTTTATTTACACTTGCTATCCATAAAAAGACAATCTTCAAATAATTTCTCCTGTAGACTTATTTCCTTCATCTTTATCTTATCAGGGGCTATGTTATAGGATTCTGATGGCACACATTTATTAATGCCTTACTCACATCTCTACTCTTGAAAATTCTCTTTTATGTGCAACTATGTATCTTGCCCAGAGATCTTAGGACATCCTTGTTTGTTAGATTATGTGTTTCAAGTTCAAATACACTTGGGTAAATGCAAATACATTTTTATTTGCCAAAGTACAAAAAGGAGAAGAGAAAATCTTTACTAAAAAAAAAAAAAAAAAAAAGAATGATTAGATGTGGGAATTGAAATGCAAAATTAAACATTGCTAATTAATTTGCTACTTCTTTTTCCCATTTCAACTTTGATGGGGATAGTCCCCAAATGGCATTAGACTGTCATAAATACTATGGATATGCTGTTTCAGTCTATCAGGAATAAAAACATAAAATTTAAAAAAAGGCAATCCTGTATTGGTTGGGGCCTAATTTAAAATGAATCTTTCCCCCTTGACTTCTTCCTGTGCATCTATTCATGGGGAGGTCACCTCACCACTATTTCATATATTCAAGCTCCGTTTTAGCCTCTCGCTGTCCTCATCATATTTAGATGCCAACTAATTTCCTTCAGCTTTTTCTTTGTCTAAATGCCACACGTTACCCCAAATTCCTCTCCTGGCATGCTAACTACAGGAGAATGTGATGGCATAGAAATAGAATCATTCCTATTTTCAAATTTGGAGCATAAACCAGACATTCCCCAACACATATTTTTTTATTGAATTATTGTTTTGCCACAGCATAGATCACTGAATTTGGATTCACCCTTCACTTTCAAACATGTACTTTGTATTTTATTGATCTATATTTTCCTGAAACAACATGGGAGCTATCTTTAGTGTGAGGGCAAAGTATCAGGCCTTTCATAAGAAAGAAAAGATGAGATCCCATGGCATATGCCATGGAGATAGTTAAAACCCCAAATTTTCATCTATAAACACTGCTTATATTGCTAAAATCAAGATTCCAAAGCAGTATGGAATATGGACACCAGCCAAATAAGGTGCTGTCTCTATATAATAAGTTATATGTTATTATGCTAAATATATTATAGACAACAAGGATATATATGTTTTATATAATAAGGAGGTATAGTTGACCCTTGAACAATGTGGTGGTTAGGGCTGCCAACCCCTCACATAGTCAAAAATCCACATATAACTTTTGACTCCCCAAAAACTTAACTGCTAATAGCCTACTGTTGACCTGAAACCTTACTGATAGTATAAACAATCGATTAACACATATTTTGCATGTTATATGTATTTTATATTATCTTATTACAATAAAACAAGCTAGAGAAAAGAAAATGTTTATTTTAAAAATGAAAATGTTTATTTAAAAATGTATATTTAAAAAATCATACGGTAGAAAAAATACATTTACAGTGATGTACTGTATTATTGAAAAAACTCTGCATGTAAGTGGATCCACATACTTCAAAATGTTCAAGAGTCCACTGTATTTTATATATTGGGAGAATCTTCACTATTTTTAATTGCTTAAAGTTTACAGAATTTGGAAGTTATATGACTTCTGTATGCATAGCTACTAACCTAACCCTCCTGTTCCAAGATACAGTTGCAGAGCAGGGGAAGTCATTATACAGTTAGACATCATTCTTTGGGCAGCAGGTCTGATGGGAAAGAGTTACTGGTGACAATGGTCAACAAATGGTTATGTGTCCAGAGCTTTGCTGGCCTGTGGTTTAAATTAAAGCATATGCAGTTTGGGGCAAAGGAGGACAATACACTCAAAGCAAGACTTTAGACACTCCTCACCCTGAATATTCCACAATGATAACTCCAAATGTTTTATACAGGAGGGCTCAGACATGGTAATGTGGATGAAAAGGAAGTGAGGAGACTAGTGCTCATCTTGAAGCTATGTGTGTGTCAAGCATAGTTTTTGCATAGATTGTGTTCCATGTGGTGGGGCTTGGGATGCCGCTGACACAGCCACTGCATATCCACACTGGGCAAAGGCACCTCAACCCTAATTACTGTAACCCTGATCCATATCTTTCCCTTTCCCCTCTCTGCTTTTGCATTTAAAAATAGAATCATGGAATTGCTCAAAGTGAAAGGCAGTATGAAAATGAATGATCCAACTTCCTCATATTATGAATAAATTTTATGAAGAAATAAGAATAAGATAACACCTACAGAGCATTTATTAAATGCTAGGCACTGTTCTAAGTGATTTTCAATTGGTATTTCTTCTCATTTGCACAACACCATTATAGGTAGGTGCTATCATTATCTTTATTTTTAAATAGAGAATCTGAGGCACAAAGAGGCTATGAGACTGATCCAACGTCACACAGGTAATGATGGAGTTGGGATTCCAATCCAGGAAGTCTGACTCCAGAGCCCACAGGCTGTAGACAGCAAGATTGTAAGAAACTGTGTGGAACAACATATTGATGGATTTTTAAAAGTGACGGGTGGGAGGGACAGAGGAAGAAAATGACCAATATCACAAAAAGATAATATCTAAGACTTGGGAAAAGTGGAATCCTTTCTATTCTGCCTTAGAGAAAATCCATTTGGAAAACAATACTTAGAGGAAACAGCTTTTTTATTTTGTTTTTATTTTGTCTCTTGACGCTTTGGGTTAACAAAAAGGAACTCAGGGTTTAGGGAACTTTAGAGCAGTGGTCCTCACATCAGTCATTAAGGCTTTTGGAAATCTGATGAAAGCATTCAGTACTCTTCTCCAAGAGGACTTATACATTCCATTTTCAGATACAGTTTTAAAGGTTTACAAACTCCTTGTGGTCCTCTTTTATCAGGGTCCCACCTTCCAAACTCCTGCCTTAAAAGAGCAGACTTGCAGTTACAATCAGTTTTTACCACACCGTTTTGACTGTTGGTTTCTGAGTTTCTCCCTATGCCTTTCACACCGTGTGACCTAGAGCGTTGATGCCCAGTTTGAGAAGGGAGAAAGTAGAGTATTAAATGTGTTATATTACATACTGGCCTAGGACTAAAATGTATTGATTTTAGTAAATTTTTAAGAAGAAGCATTCATTTAGCAACTATATTTCAGAAGTGCTCACATGTATTAAATTAGCAACATTATTTGTGACAATATTTATTCAAGTCTTTTTAATGATCTTAAATATTCTCAACATAATTGGTCCATAATCTACCATGATTTGGGCAGGTCTTTGCAGAAGAAATGATTGTAGTGAGGCCTGCCTGAACAAAGGAGAAAGTAAACCATTTTGTTTCTTACATCTGGGCAAAACTCTCTATCCTAGACCACATCACAGTCTTTAACTTGTCTGTTACTTTCCTGCTATCCTCTCACCCAACTAGTAATAGCACTTTTTCAAAAACACACCTGACTACTTAGTACTTTCTGCTGTTTAGAACTTCAGTGGCTTCCCACCATTCACGCATTGGAGGTAGAATTTTTAAGTAACCCTAAACTTCATGAACTGCCCCCTGCTGGTATCTCCCATCTGCCCTCACATTCCACTCCTTTCCCCTCTCTGAGCTTCTCTCAGATCTTTGAACAGAGTACACTTTCTCACCTCTGCATCTTGGCACATACAGTTCCCTCATCCTTCTTTATCCTTCCTCCATCACCATTACCCAATGGCTATTCATCCTTCAGGTGTCAGCTCAACTGTGTCTTTCTCACAGAGGTTCCCCCCGCCCAACCCCAATCCAGGTAGAAACCTCCCCTCCCTTGCCCCCAACATGTAGTCTAAGAGCCACTGTTCTCTTATTCTTATTGTCATCACATTTGACTACAATTGCATGTTCAATGTCTATCTTCCTGCAGGTTTGTAAGTACTGGAAGACTGGGAATCAATTCTGTATTGTTAAACTCTATCTCCTTCATTTCCCCGTGCCTGACATCTAATAAACACTTGATGAATCTTTATGAATAATAAATGAAGAGCAATGATAAATGGATAAGTGAATAAAAGCAATGAATGTCAAGGGCAATATGAACAAGGGGAAAGTGTTATTTTGAAGTCTGAGAATTAACATCCAATAATTTAACTGTGACTCTCTCACTTGTTATATTTTACACATATTCATTGTTCATTGGCAAAATTCTGGCAGAGAGGGATTTTTTCCCTCTAATAAATCTTTTGTTTTCTTGGATGTAAATAGATTTCCTTGCTTGCCACAAAACATTGTGAGATACCAGGAGCGTATGACATTAACTTCATTCATGAATAAATGGATATTCAGGTAATTTAAAGGATGTTTTTCAAAGTCTTAGAAATCTATGTCCCTTGACCTAAGTCCTGTGTTCTTTCATCTATAGGACATTTCCTTAGGCAATGGTTTTTTCATTCTTGTGTGGTAGTAAAAAGAGAAATAAGCTTAAAGAAGACCTAAATGCTAGTCCCAACCCTGCCATTTGCTTAATCATTTAATGCCTTAGATACCCATTTCATCTTTGAAATAGAGAAGTTGGATCATTGATCTCTAAGATGCCTCATATCACTGCCATGAGCTACACGGAAGTAAAAGTTCAAAGTAAATTTAAAGAAAACCTACATATATAATATCAGTGTATTGCCAAGGATGAACACAATAACTGTCCATTTATATAAAAATTTCTAAAAAATTAGGCTGTAATAAATATTAAAATAAAGATATGATGGAGATGATGTCAATGTTGGTAAATCACATTGTGGTTCCCTTTTCCACCAAAAACTTTTTTTTCTTTCCTTTGCATGGGAAACAAAAGAAAACAGGTTTCAAGGAAACTTAGGGCTAAAAACAAAATGTATTTATTCCTTCATTCAAAAGAAAAAAAAATCCATTGAGCATTTTCTGTGTACCGGTACCATTCTAGGTCCTGAGATCAGCACACACGTCACCAAGATGTAAGGGATAACAGTTTTCACCAGTGTGTTCCCAGCGCCAGGAAACAATGCTCCATTAATGTTTGCTAAGTGGAGAGAAAAGAAGGAAAGAAACAAGAAGAGGGGGCTCTGCTCAGGTGCTAGAACTCACACAGGGGTCTTCTGAACTGATTCCTGGCGCTAAAGAATCCCCCCAATTTTTCCAACAAGAAATATCCTTGAGTTCCCACCTACTCTGTAGAGAAAAAAACCTTAATTTCAGGTCATAGCCTAGGATATGTATAATAGAGATGACTCTGTTCCAGGGAACTTTGGGCACATTCAAACACCTTGTGAGTGGAAAAAGAACATTAGAAAAAGCTCTTCATAAAACACTTTTCCATAATAAGATTTCTGTCCTCTTTGCCTCCATCTCATTAAACTACAGAGAGGAAGAATGTACTTTGTTCTCTCACATTCAGTCTTGCATTTCTACATAATCAGAATTGATTTTTTATTTTTACGTTATGAATTTTATGAATGTACACACATGAGAACTTTGAACACTTAGCATAAGGTGAAAATAAGAACATATGTCAAATATAATTCCTCTAAGTTTGAAATACTCTCATTCTTCTTAATAGGAGCTCAATATAATACATTCTGAGCAGCTTCTAAGTTAAAACTTTAACTATAAGCTGATCTTGAGTTATTAGAAACATTATTAAGTATTTCACACAGTCTTTAGCAGTGCATTAAAGTGCTTGGCATTAAAGTTTGCAATTGGTCCTGATCACATATGGTTTTCCTTAAAATAAAATACTTGTTTATGCTTTTTTGTTGAGAGAAATCATAAAACCAAAAAAGTAAATTACTATTATATTATAATATATATAATTATATATATAATATATTATTATTCCTGTTTTGTCATAACATACATGTCAAATTTAATTTAAATGCACATTCCAACGACTGCTTTCAACTGTCTCCCTTCCACACAGCCCCATCTAAGTTATCATTGTCTGTTGAAATAGACAAGGTTAAATGTAACCTAAACTTATGTTCAGTTTGAATACTTCCCTCACTCACTGTCAGTTCATTCTCACTACAGTCCCCTGTGAAATCCTAATCTGCATTCTTCAACAATCTGCCAAAGAGCCACTTTCTAGGGCAGTACAAACCTTTATTGGTTACTTCCCAAGCGACTTCAAACAGCAGTAAATCCTCCACAGGAAGTTCTTCCACTTCCCACCGAGGAAGCCCGCTCAGGGATGTCACAGATAGAGATCGGCCTCGGAGCATTCTTTCTCTGGTCCTCTGAAACTTTTTTGAATCCCTTTTTCAATAAACTGTGATGCCAGTAGCGGTGTGTCGAGAGCCTTGCAGGGTCAGAGCTGGGAGATCTCAGGTTTGGGGAACTTATTATAGGTATAAACCAGTCAAATGAAATCTCATGTGCTTCCCAGAGAACTCAGTTGAAGGAGGAACCCTTCTGTACAGTCTTTCTGGGCAGGTCCAGTGAGGACAGTATCTCCAATCAGTATCAACCTGACCAACTCAATCATACATAAAATCCTCAAGTTCTGGGCTTAGGTAAGCACCCCTTCAGATGGTGGAATCCTCATAGGCTGAGCACGACACAAGTCCCGACCTTTAGTCCTTGTCCTTTTGGCCAAACTCCTAGACTCATTCAGTCATCAATGCTTATTTCATCACTTCCAGAGTGATCCAAGATTAGCAATTCCCCTTATTAGGGTTGCAGACCATTTTAGATTACACATAGAATTCACTGGGACCATTTACAAACTTTCAATCCTTTTAGATTTCCTAAGTATTCTTTGAGTCTTATTTCTAGAGCATTAAAAAAAAATCCTAGTTTTTGTAGTCTACATTTATAATCTAAATTTTGATGTTAGGCATAGATCTTGGTTCCCCCTTCTCTTAATTACTTTTCTCAAAAATTTCCCTATGAAAAAGTATAAATCCCAGGTGGTTTTGAGTACAACATGCAAGGAATGTAACTTTGACTGATCAATGATGATTAAAAAGTAAAAAACTATCTCCAAAAGTTTAATCAGATCACCTCAGGATTGTTTCACTTATTCCCATCCTCAGCTCATTACTCTTTTTGAAATTCCTGGTCCTCAATTCTCATTTGGGGTTTTTGCTTCAAGTACCAGCATTCTCAACAACACATCATCTCCTAATGACCCTTCAAGTAGACTTACATAACTCTTTTGATCCTATAATTCCTAACAGAAGAACCCCCTTTGCCAATTATTTGCTTTTCTGTGGTGAATGCCATTTTCAAAATTTCTCCTTGAGTCAAGAGGAGTGAAATAAATGGAATCATACAAAATATGTCCATGGAATATATCTTCATCTATCCATGTTATGTGGATGAATCTTCTTCTTTCATGTGTGGCAGGGAGGGAAGGCAAGGAGAGACAGTAATTTATATAATAAAATTTGGAGAGGAATCAGAAAAAGTTTTCTGCTTTCTGTTTCCTTGAATATTCTCTTCAAAGATTTGTGCTGAAAACACAAATTGAGGGGCACCTGGGTGGCTCAGTGGGTTAAGTATCCGACTCTTGATTTCAGCTCAGGTCATGATCTCATGGTGGTGAAATTGAGCCCCACATCAGGCTCTGTGCTGGGTGTGGAGCCTGCTTAAGATTCTCTCTCTGCCCCCATCGCCCCACAACAAAAAATTTAAAAACAGTTTTTTTTAATAAAATAACAAAAACATTAAATGTTGAGCTGGGAGTAGAAAGAGAACAGTCAATCAGACAGAAAGGCAGGTGGAATTTCTCCAAGACGGCAGAAGGTCTCAAAAGTCCTGATCTCTAATTTCAAACTCACACTAACACTTTATCATTCAATGAAAATGAGGTAAGAGGACAATTAGGGAAAAAGGAAGACTTCTGTTTGGTTTGCTTAGTAGGTATTCCAGCAGAGGTCACTAGATACGTTTAGAAAACCACACATTTTGCTTTGACAGCATGTAATCTTCTTGTAAGTCTTTAGGATATTGAAGGCTTGATTAGCCTTTACCTGCATATCCAGAAAGAGTCAATTAATGTATTTATGGAACACCTATTATGTGCTATTATTCTGGAAGCTGAAGGTATTTTAATAAACAGTAAACAAGTCCTTGCCTTCATGTGGACAGATAGGCATCAATCTTGTTAACAACTGAACAATATTATTTCAGGTGTTACTAAGTTTGTGAAGAAGAAAAACTGCAAAGTGATAGTGCTATTCAATATAAATGAGTGTCTTAGCTGGAGAGTGCTTGGAAGATTGTTCTGAGAAAATGATAGTTGAATTGAGACACAAAGGATAAGAAAGAGGCAAAATGTTGAAGATCTGGAGGAAAAGGGAGCCCTAGCACATTGTTGGTGGGAATGTAAAGTGGTGTAGCCACTATGGAAAACAGTATGGAGGTTCTCAAAAGATTTTTTTAAAAAGTACTACAATATGATCAAGCAATTCTGCTTCTAGGTTTTTATCTGAAGGAAATGAAATCACTAACTCAAAAAGATATCAGCATTTTTGTGTTCATTTTACAGCATTATTTGCATTAGTTGAGACTAAAGATGATGTGTTTGTAGGATTTGGAAGTGCATCATATGAATATTTAACTTCTGAAAATTCAATTATATCTTCTAGACAAAAAGAAAACAGAAAGAACAAGAGAAAACAATTTAAATAGCTTGGGAGGATCCATGTGATGAGGAGAGAGGATGCCCCAGATGAGGGGGAACTAGGAAACCACATTTCCTACATTTGGTCTTTCCATAGTCTGAGTATCTCATTGGCTGAGTATCTCATGTTACTGAGGTTTGACATACATTTTTCCATTTGTATAATGGCTATAGAATCCAACCTCAGTAAAAATGGCTCCAATTAACTCTATGTAAAAGATAAGTAGCAATTTGCAGTAGAGTAATAATAGTGAAAGTAGAGAGAAGTAGGTAGTGGGATATGGGTAACAGTCGGCAGAACGTGGAATTGATTGGGTGTGGAAAAGTAAGGGTAGTTTGGTACCTACCAAAGAAGGCAGATGGTTAGGTAGTGGACTAAAGTAAGAAATATGGGGGGGAAGAATAGATTTATTTGAGAAACTAGGTAATGGCTTCAATTTTAGAAATGGCAAGTTTGAGATACCAGCCAGATGTAGAAAGTTAGATATTTTTGCCTCCTCAGAACCTCAGACAAGAAGTCTGGGACACAGCTGGTAACTGAAGCCACGGAAGTAGTGAGATCTCAGGAAGAGGGAGTGCAGAGTGGGTAGGGTAGATCCGCCGGGAAGAGTAGGGTACATTGTTCCAGAAAGTTCAACTTTTATGGCAACGACGATGATATGGCGCCCTGAGTTGTACTTGGTACATACAGCACTGCACAAAAGGTACAATTATTTCTCAAAAATGGGGATTTCACACAAAACTTTGGATCTCTATGTTTCATTGAAAACAAAATCTAAACCCATTTTTCCTATTTTTTGACAAAGACAACAATCTGCTAGAGTAAATCTGTCCTTTTAACTGCCATCAGGGTCATTTCACTCATTTACCCTGTCACATCTCTAGAAACACAGGAATCTTAACTTCTGATTCACTTTTTTTCTGTGCATATTTGGAGTTGATGATCAGGAAATGGCCAAAGAAGGAGGAAGTAATAATTGTTAAATTAACATTGTAATCTAAATGGACAATGTCCACCCATCATATTCAAGACAGTGAGAAGGATTTTTGACTTTGACTGTTGAGATTTTTTTTTTTTAGAGACAGCGTAAACAGTCTTACTCAGACACCCAGGATATGTTTTTAGTGTAGACTTTTTGCTTTACTGTGCTGTCTTCTCTGGTTTTATTTTAATCTCTTCTTTAACTGAGTAGAGTATAAAAGATAAAGGTATTCAGAAGGGTAACTTTAGCCCCTTTAAATAAAGAGGTGAAAGAATGAGATTTTGAGCAAGAGAGGAGGCAGAGATATCTCTCTGGAAACAGTCACCCTGAGAAGTTCAATCACATTTTGTGATGTTTTTGTCAATGAACACCCCTCCTCCATTTCGCAGTAAATTTTCAGTAAAATCAATATGAGCGTTTTTTTAAAAATCAGATAAAAAATCAGAATCTGGAGCAAAGGTTTGTGAGGATGGGAGCAAAAGCTGCCAAGAGCAGGAAACAGATGCTGTATATTTACCAGAAGGTTGGTAGAAGAGCAACATAGTGGAATTGTTAAAAATGAGGGCTTTGGAGTTGGGCTTATCTCAGTGAGAAGTGGACTATTTACTAGCCTGTAACATAGGGGTGATAATATTTACTTCTCGACGATGTTGTGAGGATTAGATAAGAGAATGTACACATGTCTCTCCTACAATATCTTCAAAATCCTGCTTCTCAGGGTCCAGAGACTGCAATCTAGATGCATGAAGTTGACTGATGACAGCCCAGCTCAAGCTGCTAATCTCTCCCTCCTGCCCTGGTCTCAACTCAATATTTCTAACCTCCACACCAGTGTCCCTGCATCTATGTAGAGCTTGGAGGAAAGGGGAGTTTAATGGCAGCCAACTAATGGTCTTCTAACTATGGGCTTACTTTTCTGATAATCTCCACCAATTCAGGATGTAAAATATTGGCAAATATTTTTACATAGTAATTTTATAGTAAACACAGATATGTATACTATGCCAAGGCTCATATATATATATATATATATATATATATATATACATATACATATGTGTGTGTGTGTGTGTGTATAAATGTAAATGTCAAAATGACAAGGGTGACAAATAATGTATGTGGTGATGTTAAATGAATTTCCTTCCCAAACGGTGTCATGGAAATAGTTGATTTAGTAATATTTATTTGTTTGTTTGCTTTTGATATAATGAAAGAAACTGTAATGGTAGTACGGCCATTGCACTAGATCAGTTTCTGCTGGGCAGAACACCTGTTAGTAATCACCCACTTTCCCTTCCTTGTCAAGGCTCAGCGTAGTTAGGCAAACATACACAACTTGATGAAACCAGCAGTACATGAGACCCCAATTAATTCTTTTACCATCAATGATCATCAGATGTCTCCTTGAGATCAGATATTTTTTTGATTTAGCCATTTATATCGACCTAATAAATCTCCATTTTGTGTGCAGAAGGCATAAGATCTTGTTCTCATTAAACACAAGTCTTGGATTTGATGGAGTCAGAACAAAAGGAAAAGTCATAATAGTCATAGACATTACCTCGCCCTGTTTATAAACACAATTCCATGGGAAAATCAGATTTTAAAATTTAATGTTAGATTATATTCGCATTTAAAGTTTTTTTTGGGGGGGGGGCGCCTGGGTGGCTCAGTCGGTTCAGCGTCCGGCTTCAGCTCAGGTCATGATCTCGCGGTTCGTGAGTTCAAGCCCTGCGTCAGGCTCTGTGCTGATGGCTCAGAGCCTGGAGCCTGTTTCAGAGTCTGTGTCTCCCTCTCTCTCTAACCCTCCCCCGTTCATGCTCTGTCTTTCTCTGTCTCAAAAATAAATAAACATTAAAAAAAATTTTTTTTTAAATAAAGTTTTTTTTTTTTAAATCATATCTTTCACAAGACCAGTAGAGAGTTTCTCAATCACTACACTTGGAAGA